GTAATCTAGCCTGGTTTCGAATTTTTCGCACGAAGCCACGTCCGCTTTTTCAACTGGAAAAACCAGCCGTATAAGGCAATGTGTAACGTAGAAGCGGAAGTAAAAGACGTCACACAAATAGAATATATTAATAGCCGCCGGATAATAAGACGTAAACAAACAACATGCATATATTGTTCTAACTGGCTCATTAGAGCGCGTCAGTTTTGGTGTCCATTCTTTTTTCGAGGGTCCTTTCCATTTTCCTGTGTCATGCATACTGGTCGCATTATTGGTATTTTTTCTCTCAAGCTAAGACTCTAAAGATATCATGTTGGCCTTGCAGCGGGGGCATCATTGCAAATAGAAGACACATGCGGAACTCTTACCTCGATCTTTCTCAGTGAATTACCGCCTAGCCTGGTCATGGCCTAGGCCACGCGGTACTGCTACTGCTTCAGACAACCTGTTTGTGTGGCCTACGGTGCATGTAATCATCCTTTTTTACGTTTTTACACGTCAAAACGACCACCTGTCTACAAACATTACTTTTGTCCATCCAGGAATACAGCGCTCGCAAGCAATAAACGGCTGCCTGTCATCTTATTCCGGCCACTCTACTGCTGGAGGCCAGCAGTGACCCCTGGACGGTGCGCGCTACTTATATGAATCGAAATGACTGGGGCCTCCCGAGTGAAAGAGGACGGCAATAACAGAGATTTGGACGGCTTTGATTTATGTTCCGTCGGGATTTAACAAGGGCTAAGTGGCTGAAGCAGATTGAATCAAATTCGGTTCTTGGCTCATTTTTAAATTGGGAAGTTGCTCCAAGCTTCATCTATTGAGTACATTTAGAGTACGTACCTTGATGTTAAGTTTATCCGATGCTGCCCTTATTCGGTTTAAGGCATTTTCTTTAAAGTGGGCCCAGCCCGCACCATCTCCGCTGTTGGGACTCTGCTGTTGCTCCATTTCAAGTATCTGTATTCGTGCTTCTTCGCTTATTTCCCTGTTGTGGCTCGCTTCTTTACCTACGTACCTCCAGTAACAGCTTCACCACGAAGAACAGCATTTACTTTTAGTATTTTACGTGCGTGATGTCAATACACTGGCGTCAAGGCCGCAGTCGCTAAAAAGCAGTGCACCGCGAAAAGTTTACTAGCTTACTTGCTTTTGAGTTTTGAGCTCCCGCCTGTTGTTGGTGCCGCTATGGCGATCACTTGACTTTTTCTTGCTGTCACATCAAATCTGAATATTTCTATATGAAAATGTATAGTTCTAGTATCTGCCTATGACGCCTAGCCGTCACCCAGCAGAACTGTACGTTAGCTCGACGTCCGTCGTTATGTTTGTTACCACTGCTTCCCATTGACTACGTCGACTTGTCTCTTTTCGGTGTCAGCGTTACTTTTGCGACTGCTGTGATGGTGCTTAATCCAGCACAGTCCGTTTGCGTGTCGGTGGGTGCGTGCTTCCTTCTCTCATATGGCGATGGCGGACGTCGGTGGTCGTATAGTTCTTCTGACGACCGTAAGCGATGGCGCAGACAAGGATCAAATTGTCTCAGTCCCTACCTATGCGCGCTGCTACTCCTCCATTGGCTGCTATGACCGTCGCGTTAACTACTGTCGTCGCTGTTGTTTGGCAAAATTTGATTGAGAGATGGTGGATCATAACAGTCGAATAGCGACAGTGGCGGCGGGACGATGAGCGAGTGCAAAAATTAAGAGGGAAGGAAAGATCTGCGCTGACGACCCGTGATGACTAGCAATGGTAGTCCATAACAACGTACTGCTGACATACGCATGGTGAAGATGAATAAAATGATGATAATCCCTAGTGATAGTTATATAAAAATAGTTTCAAACATTGGGGCTAACTGGCTCAACAAACACTCAGATTCAGAAACACACACTTTATCAGCCAGATGAAGTGCTCTGTGACACACTCCGGCTAGGATACGCAACGGGCAACGGTCTTCCGCTAGTCAGCTTCGGATAAACAGCAGTCGAATAGTGGACGGGTAGGCTGGTATTGACAGCAGTATTAAGCAGAACTAGACGAATCGTATGTAAGTTTGGAACTTCGAACGTTGCAACGAAAGGCTTTAGAACAGGACAACTGCTCTTGATTACTATTTGTTTGCAAGAAGTTACGTACTCATGCATTCCTAAAGATGAGCAACGTATATGGTCATAGGGTATGAACCTAGAGGGGTCCATTAGTTATTGCTACATATTTAGTAAATATGAAATATTAAAAAGTATACTGCAAATGCTATGTAATGCTGGACTAACTGGAAGAATCAAACAGTTAACAGAATGCTCAAGTTGCCTGTTGTGCTGGTTCTCCAAGACCAAAATGCAACAGATGTCTGACAGTCCGTACCCTAAAAGCAGCTGAGTGCGGACATTTTCATATATACGGGCAGTTATAAGTTAGCACATATGAGTTGTAATAGCATTGTTCTATAACACGATATTTAATAATAGCTAGGTTACAAAATAGGCAATTTGTTTTCCAAAAAAACTGCGTACCCTTAGAATTCGACAAATGATTAGAATATGATGACTTCTTTACTCCAAACCACTAAACTATAATCCATTTTATAAACCACAGCAACAAACGGAAAATTTCTGAAGCAAAACTTACTAAATACAACTTAGCCAACTGTGAAGTATCGTGCTTACGAAGAACTCAGGTAGCTGTTGAACTTTTCATATAGAAAAGCGACATTAGCTACAGTTAGCCGTAGAGTTTAACAGACGTTAAAACATTGAAGAAATGCGCATCTTGTTTACGAACTTATCTGCGAATGAAAAGCAATAAAAAAATATTAATTGCTTTTCGCGTCTGTGAAGACTTACTTTTATTATTCTATTATTACTCTTCTTCGATCCTGTGCAAAATTTTCAGTTCGCGTCGGCCTTGATTCGTGCCGTTTGGTTCTACGAAAGCGTTTACTTGCTTGTAAACGGAGTTACTTTCTAGCCGGGATTGGTTTCTTTCCTACATTTTCTTATTTCATGTTTAAGATAAACTGCGGACGCCTAAAGTACGTTATTCTAAAGTCCAACGGAAGTTAACGACATCCATTCTCAAGAGTTTGTCGTTACTGAGTTAGGCTGTTATTAATGTGCATATGTTTACATACAGAATCTTCAACCACCGTTAAACAAATCTATTATTTTCTGACGCGTTTTTGTCTTGAAAAGGACAAAATTGTCAACAACAATACAAACGCTTTAATAAATTTCAAATAACGAGCCAGCCAATTCTAGAAATATAATCCAGATCGATTTGAACACTCGTAAAGGGGCTCCAAAGTCACGCTACAGGCTTTTCATTAGTACTAGCCTTTGTCAGTGTTCAGGGAACATATACGAAATTTCTGAATTCTCCTCTATGCCAAACAACATTAGTGTTTGAAAATATTATACTTGATTAAAGTTTAGTACATTAAATGAATAAGTCAGATACAAACCTACAGGCTCTTGTCAGTGTCTCAGGAGCATACTAATTATTCTATCAGATGTGTAAAATATTTGCGAGCAGGAGTCTCTTCAACGGATCATCGATAACGGTCAGAACCACTTTGCTACCCTGTAGCAGATCGACTAGTGAAATCACACAGTTACCGGAGCATCGAAATACCATAATTACATTTGAAAGCAATAAATGAATCTTAACTTACATTATCAAGCCAATAAAAGTTTGCGTAAATATTTGTAACGGCTGTTGTGTGCACTTGTTTTGGCAAATAACAAACATAAAAACATCGTATGTTTCCATTACGAAAATTGCCCACATTATCACCTTATTTTTACCCTATGCTGTCGCAGTTGTAACATAATTAGCTCTAGCGTTTATGTGTGCTAGCATCTTTGCTCTATAACAAGCAAAGGATCCTTTATCCTCTCTCTTAACTATAGAACGCCCCATCGTCTTCCAAGTACATTTCGTGTAATTTCTTAAACCTCTGAGAAAATGACCTTCCTACTAATAAATACGCTCTAATCTGTTTATTAATCAGGTAAATCAACAGTGAAGAAAGTTTTCTCTCTTATCCGTATCAACGGCTGCTACGAAACCTCTCACGATTGTCACTCGAACATCGATATATAGCCAAGTATTGGCTTTTCACAAGCTTGCATTTGTACTCCTCCATGTAAAGCAACAGATACCGCGCAATAGCGTAACATTTGCGTCAACTTTCTAAAGAGACGCCTCCTCACAAACGACGTTCGTGGCCGTGATTATCTAGACGCGTGCACTGCTTCTGTTCTGAAATTCGGACGGCGTGATCAGATCAGTTTGAGCAAGCAAAACTATGTTGGCTTTCCTTTGTATGTGTATCTCTCTGTGTTTCAAGTTTTATGTCCGGTATCGCCGTTAGGCATTCGATCAGACGGACGGCTGGATCCCAGCACAAACACAAGACAAAGTTTCTCTGTGCCCGCGTTCAAACCCAGACCACAACGAGCCTCTGAGATTTGCATGTGTACTTATCGATATGAAACGTATCTCATTTGGTGGTATATTACCGAAGAGCTTTGCGGGCCCATGTATGTATTCCGGGTTCGTTTACTGCTATACACACAACTCTGCAAGTGAATTTAGCCGCTATTGTGGTCCATACCACACGTTCTGCCGTCTCCTCACATTTCCGCCCTTCCCAGACGGTCTCGTGTACAGTTTACTCCGTTACCAAAAATTTCAGCTACGCAAGGACACCTTTGTCTGCGAATATAAAAACCACTCTCGGCCACCTGGTCACTGCGCTCTTTCCGTTCATTGAAGTCATGCTGTTCGTGCTATACACGTAAGTAATGATGTGTATATAGCCATAAAATTGCTAGATCACAACAGAAAACACAGCTCTATTGCAGATACTTGTTAAAAAAAAAAGTAGATTTTGTATGATTCTAGTTTGAGTTTAACTCTTACTCCAGAATTTACAGTGTACGACCGCTTTATGTTCGAGTAGTAAAGCAAACAGATGTGTCTATCTAAGGCAAAAACAATGCAGCCATTAATGATTGTGATCTTTCTTTGTTTGTTTTATTATCATAATACCGTGCAATTGATCTACACATTAATGTGCTCATCCATATATATCACCACAGTCGGTGCTCTATAATATTAAATTAGTTTCGAGGATGCTTTATATGGCAACACGCTAATAAATAGAGTGCAACATCTCGCCTATAGTGTACTATCATATATAAGAACAAACGTGCCCTTTTATCTCAACTATTCTTCCTTATCTTCAACTCTCAAACAATCACATTAATCTATTGATTACAGGTTAACAGCCGTTGGTCTCATCGCTTCATTGCGACTAAATCGAGTTACGTCGATTACGTGAACATCTGCAAGAAATGTCTTACTGAAGATCGGCTTGTTTATGTGTCAATCGCATCTGATCAGGCTGCCTTACACTTGGAATTGGTAAAAGGCGTAATATTACTCCATTCCTATAATAATCGTTCCTATCGCTAAAAGGCATCTATAATACAGGAGCAAATCTATGCAGAGACGTCCACGTGCTGTGGCGGCACCTCGGTGAATATCTTCTATCCAAATTTGCAGCTCATCATCTGTGTGTGGTGATACTATTCAACAACGAAAAACCTTATAGGTCAACCACTCTTGATTATCTCCCGCTTCTGCTAACTTGTCATATTGAGTTAGACGCTTTTGGTTTCTCTGTCAAATCTCGGTCCATGATGATCACTTAAAGAATCCACGTTTATCTTTTTTCACCTCCCCTTGACCCTGTAGGTAGAAGGAAAACAAAAGTTTTTTGCCACCTGTTTGCGTAGACATATTAGCATCAATTTGAAAATATTTTACAATTGGTGCTGTATTCAAAAGGACACAATTTGAGACCCAACAAACACTACGATTTAAATTAAGACCGATGAAAGGCACGGATGACTCACACGAAGCAAGATAAGAACTATATTTACTAAGACGAGTATCAAACGCTAGATCGACAGACGACATATCAAACGGTAGACGAAATGTTGGTAACATGAAGCCGGAATCATTTCTGTTTACTTGGAGCTTCGTCACTTACCATGGTCCCAAAGAGTAAGAGACGGGCCTGCTCCTCGCTTGTCTCACTTCTAACCTCGAGCTTACTGCTGCCAGCGCCTCCCGATCCGGCTATACCCGATCCACCGGCGCCTTCTGCGTTTCCAACGGGGAGCGGTATCGAGGCAGTCGTCGTAGTGGTCGACTTAATTTGGAGTTTCTGCTTAATGGCCTGTGACAAAAGGGCGGTTTTGGCCGTATTTCTGATTATAATGATCAGGTCAAGCCAGCGGCAGGTTCGGTTGTGCAGTTCGATGGTTGGAAGAACGAGCGAATAGTCGATCAAGTCACGAATAAAGTCTTTCTTATCCTTTTCGCCCTTGTAGCTTAGACTGTTTGAGAATAATCGAACCGAACACGGATTAGTGGGGGCATAAGACGTATTCGCAACAATTAGTACAGGCAACTTAATACGGTCTACTCCAACTCTACAGTATAAGTAATGCTGTACATGTGTGTTAGACCTATGAAGAATGTAAAAAAATGTGGCCAAAATTGTAACTGCATGCATGTCAAAGCGTAGAGAGATGTGTGAAAAAGTTGTTAAAATACGATTATGTGGTTACGTAAAATTAATGTACTAGGAAATGTTTCAATGTAACAATTAGGCGCAGTTCTTATAGATAATTTTATACGCTCCATGTTTTTATTGAACCCCAAAGCCGAAAAACTTTAAAATATTAAAGTCGTAAAATATATTAAGCGTCAGCCATTATAGGTCTCGAAAGAATAACCCATAACGCAGATTTAAAAACAATTTACCAAAAGCACGTTAACCAGACGTTCGTCGGTCGAGAAGCTGTTCTACTTACCGCATCGGCACTTCAGGTATCTTGATATAAAGGAAGGTTTGATTGTTGGCCGCGCGTTCCTTCATCTTTTCAATGTCGTCGTGACCCATTGGGTTATTCCGTTCAACTTGCTAATAAACAGATGTACGTGTGAACGTTAATGATCATCCATGCGACAAGGTGAATCTATAGAAACACTGCGTTAAGCCAGCAACCTTAGTCCTTGTCCATGACAGTGTAATGGCAACCTAGCTTCGAATCGCAACAAGACATTCTTCTAATGAAATGTTAATGTAGTGTATCGGGTGTCCAATTCGAGATGCTTATTTATTTAAGCCAAGAATCCCCAAAGGTAGACAGATAAATGAAGCAACAAAAAAATGAATGGGTTTAAAATTTTTAGTATCGTACAAACCGGACGCATTTATACAATATCATACTGTTCGTATTTGCTAGCAAGTGTAAAATCGCAAAAAAACAGTGTGGCATTCAAAACTATTCTAATACACAGCGTACCTTGCGACCTCGCTTTCGAGTATTTTCTTTGGGAGGCACAGCAGATTCGTCGCCATCCACCGCTTTTTCTGTAAAAAAAAAAAGCAAGAGATAACAAATTTACTGCAACTGACTGTTAATTAAGCCCAGCTCCTAGGCCAACGTTGAGCCTTAAAAAAAATGTGCTCAATTTATAATTAGAATTCTGCTTTTGCTTTCAAGCCACATTATATAAACTATATTTAATCTGTTATTTTAGAGGTCATCTCACGGGGGTCCACGAAATGATTTGTTTAGCTTAGAAGAAGGATAGGTCCCGCTTGTTACAAAACACATAAATGTCTTAGATATTTATACATTCAGTACTAGTGTAGTCTCTAATACCAACCAGCCTCCTTTCTTGAGAAAAAAAAAGTAAGCAGACGCCGTGTCAATGTCGATGTCAAGCAGATGGATATAGGCACAATATTAACTTCAAGGTGCTCCTTTACTGAAATACCGCCAACGGGTGCCCGGACACGACAAAATATCCGCAAGGCCCTTTGCCGCTCCACCGGAACATGCGACGGCGCTTCCGTTGGTTGCAGAACGTCCCGATAAACATCGTTCGGGGTTTCATTTGTCACCTAATAAAAAGGAAACGCTGCCAAGTTATCGGTCGGTGGCAGAATCATCCCAGTAATACTTTGGTAATTTGGGTGTTCACGAGTTGAGGAAGCTTAACCCAGTTCTAAAATTATACTTGGTGGGAACCCAAGACGAGCAACTAACCTTGATGTTGCCAAGCTCCAATAAATGCTCGACGGAGTCATTGGACTTTGTAGTTCTGGAATAGCTAAAAAAAAACAACATAACACTCTTATTGTGATATTGGCGATAACGACATTAGAGAAAAACGTCTCATTTATCCGCGACAAATGGGAAATAGTCTGAGTGCCTCAACGAAGTAATCAGAAACTATCGAATATCCTCCTAAACTGCAGACACATGATATAATCGTGAAAAAAAAAAGTTATCTCAACGTTACAACATGCTTAGATTAAAAACAAACAACAGAGTACTACGATGATTTACAATGACTTTTCATAAGACGGATTTTACGTCTATTATGGTTTTCGATTTTCATTAACGATCTCCTCTTGTTAAGAATATCAGAATTTTATCTAGTCATTATATGCAATAACCATCGACTAGGCATGTATATATACGTAATCAACTTACAGGAAATTGCTTAATACGAGTTCAGCAATACCAAGTTGCCCGTCTTCATCAGTAAGCTTCCAAAGAGCGTGTTTAAATGACACCTCGCTGCGCCGAACAGTCGAGATTTTCGAATGTTCGAGATGTTGACGTTGCGATTTCCAGGCAGCAACTTGTGTTTCGCGGTAGCAATTTACCTGCAATAATATGAAATCAAAGAAGATAAAAAAAAAACCATTCGTCATAGAAAGGACGAAATGCCGTTGCGTGATACTTGGTGCAAAAAGAAATATTGCACCATTTCTTTAAGCTATCATCCCCATATCATTTCTTTAAGCTACGTTCCCACAAACACATACAATAATTGTCAAATATATAGTAGGACTTACCATAAGGGTGAGATCTTCACTAGTTGCGTGTAGCTGCTTCTTCTTAACGAGAATATCCCGTTCGAGAGTGGCAAGTCTTTCGCGCAGCTCTTCTTCGTTGGGCCCAGTTAAATCCTCGCTGTTCTCAAGTCGTCGTTGGGTTGCATAGGCCATTTTTTCAAGTTCTTTGTGAATAGCGATGAGTTCTCTACAATTGTATGATACTAATCTTATGGACATATCGTTGGTTGTCAACTGTTATGCTTTTTGGGAAATAACTTTTTACTTTCTTTAAGTACGGTATCAACTTTTTGTCACCGTTCATAGCATTCTAATGCTACTGGACAGAATTCGCTTTGAACAGCAGATGACCAGTAGTATTTGCCAGCCAACAATTAGTTTTCGTGATCGAATACATCTTAATAGACATTTTACTGTGCTTTCTGATACGTACCTCGCTTTGTTCTGTAAACTGATGATCGGACCCCTCTGATCCTTGTCTTGCTCCAACTGAAGCTCAAAACGCATGCTTTGTAGACGTTGGTTGGCTTCTTTGCGACGCGGTTCAACGTATAGGAGCAGATTGTTAACGAGATCAAGGATCATCGAGTACTGCAGAGGGTTCGTACATACCTATGTTGGTCAATACAACGAAACAGTATGAGTGAGTACAGTTGAAAATACCGTCATTAGATATATATACCTGTCTTTCTTTAAACAGATTGTGTGATATGTGTCGTTTGCGGAGCCTGAAGTGGCAATTCCTGGTTTGCTTTGGCCGAAGGCTTGGCCGTTTAAGTCAGCCCATCGATGTCACTAATTACTTAGACACTGATTTCCTTTAAATCGTTATAAACGTTCCTATTGGCATGACTTTTGCCTGTCTATATTCTGCCAAATTTAAATTTAGTATTTGCTTTAAATGAAAACTTAATTGCTATATCATTTGTTAAAATTAGGTAAATATTTTACGTCAGCGTTAAAGTTATATCGGATACAAACGAAGGATTCAACTAAATATCATTTCCACCTACCTGCAGGTCGTGGTGAATCAATGTAAATGAATCCACAGCCACTTCATGCTCCCAAGGGTCGTCTGGATCTTTCTCATCCGGCTACAAACGTTACAGACGAATAGCATAAGAAGCAACTATATTTTTAAAACCAAAAGGATCTGACATAGTCAAAATATCGTAGAACATATATCGTCTACATTTATATCTTGCACAGTTGGTCGCTTGTATTTTGGTGAAGGACTAAAAGCGACCATGGCCATTGTTCGCTTTCTGCTGATACTCACAAGAGGTGGGACTTCGTTTAGAGTAGCCGGATCGATTCCCTGTTCTCCAAACGATGCATAGAAAAACTGACATCCGCATCGCGAAATGATTCTTTGAAGTTGGGCTTGACGCGCCGGTGTACCCTCTCCGTTCGAGGCACACCCGCCTGCGCCCACATCGGAGGACACCACGCCACCTACACTGTGGCCCGAACCAACCATATCCGCATAGTCGGTAATGTCCGTATCTAGAGCCTGAAATTTCCATTAGAGCGATTAAATATACACGTAGACTATGCCGGGTTTTGCTTCTGTTGTATTTTCAAGACATTGATATGTATAGAAAATTTACAATAGTCACATTTCCATAAACATGCTCCCATATGTTTGCAGAAGATATCTATCAATCCATAATAGAAAGGAAAGAGACCCCTGATTGAACGTTCGATGTGCCTAGATATATATATATATATATATATATATATATATATATATATATATATATATAGCTTAAGCGCTTGCGTGATTAGTTTAAATACTCCAGAAATCCTTAATCGTACTTCAATATGCTCTGTCGTCAACCACTGAACATCGTCATCGCTGTTTGCTGCCGTGGTCGTATTCTCGACGGTTGCATAGTATTGCATGCAGTCGAGAGTGCCTCTCCAGGTTGTCTTCGGCACTAAGTTGTTGTCTTTCCATACGGGCGCGTGTAATCGCTGAAGGATCTGCGCCTTCGCTGCACTCACAATAACATATCCTGGAGTATCGCATCCTCGCAACATCACCTGCCGACGTATGGAGTATCCTTAGTTTAGTACTATTGGTCTCCATAATGATGCAGTGATTCGAAAAAAATTCAAATTCGAAAAAAAAATCGAAGTATTTATTTTAAACTAAGACTAATCATTCAGTTCTAAACACTCTAGTATACACGGGTGCGCAGTAGTAAATCGCATCTAGTAAGATACGGTTAGGACGGTTTAGCGGGGATGCTTCGGCTAAAACAAAACACACTGAGTCAGCAAGATCGTGCCGAATCATCGGGCATTTTAATTGGGCTAGTATTACTAAATAAACTTGGTCCGACTAAATAACAACGGATTTGCTGCCCAGCTATCTATACTATTACATGTGACCGAGGGACAGGTTTAAATGCATGTAATTTGAAGCGCATTTCATATTGAATTCTTCATAATTTGTAATTGCATCGTCTCAAAAGTACCGAAAGGGGAGGTGTCGAATTTTCGAACATCGATACCACGATTTGGACAACTCATATTTAATAATCATACCTGTGAGTTACGTAACTCAATTAACCAGTTATGTGAGAGGACATCGTCCAATTGGCACTCCTTGACGCCTGTAAGGTTTACAGGTTCGGGTGTTTCCACAGACTCAGTAAATACAGCTTTGTGCTCTGCTGAAACAGTAATAAAATTGTAATACGTACACACATTAAGGCTTTAATCATTACATATTCTACCGAATGGTTTTCGGCATAATCCTATTCTTAGAAGCCGCAAAAAAAGCGTTCTGGATAATTACGAAAGAAAGCGGAACAATTGCGAAAACGAACAGTCGCCAAAGCTACATCGGCCCCTTTCTACACTGTTCCGTTTCACCAGCTCATGTAACACTCGTCAACAATAATTGTAGCAACGTGCCTGATTCAGCAATGAGTTTTTCGAGCATAGAAAACGCCTTTGACGAAGCTCCTCTGCTGCTGCTACTCGCACTTGTCATTCCGGTTCCCTGGCCAATGTTAGCAGCACTAGGAGTTTGTGATGGAGACGACACCTGTAGAACGTATATTTCATCATGGCGAAGCTTCTAAGAGCAAATACAGGCATTCCTATATTCAATACAATCATTGGTTGAAACAATTTTACTCCGAAGAAATACGACTACGGCAAAAACAAGGCTTGTGAGCCCTAAGATATGACTGACAGACATGGGTAAATTAAGTGTAGTGCAACAACTTGAAAAGTAAAAAATCAAGTCTCGAGGTGTATCCGCCTTCCTTTGATGATTATATTATGGCCGCTTCGTCAAGTCCATCCGATCGAGAGTTAGGTCCAGTTCGCCGTTTTCGAAGGACTAAGCCTAGTATATCATTTTGGTCACTGGTAGGCTTTGCAAAACGATCTTACCTTTCTATTTCCCTGCCCTTTGTTGGTTTGCTCTATTTTGAAAGGCTTTAACGCTTCGTTCGTCATGTTCCGCCGTAAATTGACGGCGTTAATAAAGGCATCGAATAGGCCAAAGACCACGTCCCGGTTGTGTTTTGTCCATGCGCCCTTAATCAGACAGGATAAAGCATACAGCAGGTCAGACAATGTTGTGCTGGTCGGATTTTTATGTGAGTTGCAAATCGTATCTGGTCGACAAAGGTCATCTTCATTTGGTGCTGGCTTCAACGAATCGCAACAAAGCTACAACATAAAAAGCGCCGACGCTTACTCCTGTAAATTCTCTAACAATCGCTTTTGTTATATCAGTAGCCCAAACGAAGGTCAAGGATCTAAGTTTACTAATACTTCCTCATGGGTGTATCTTTACCTTGAGACCGTGTACGGCTAATCGGTGTAACGGAGTTTCGTCGTCGCCCAATTCGGGCATATTATGGAGCTTTGTCTCGCGGCCATACGACACGCAGGACACGCTGAGAAAATACCTGAGGCAAGACATATGCAGTCAATCATAAAAACAGTACTACCGCTAAGACTGCTTGTGCACCACAAGGTATCGAAGTGTGAACGTAATAAATGAACGTCTGTTTATAATGTTTCGCGTAACTCCTACAATATTTATATTAGACAGCTGCGTGCGAGTAATGAATAATAAGAAGTTAACGAGCAACTACTCTATGGACGTGTATGAAATTTCTGTATATTAATGGGTAGCTCAGAGATCTTCATTCTTTCGTCAACCGCCACCTCGTATTAGACTTGTTAACAAACCTTTTGAGGGCCTCTTGCTCTTCATTCTCAGTGTGGTAGAGCCAAATGTGCGAACTATCGCTCAGTTCACAGTTCATGTAGAAGGTGCTCCAACTTGGTTTGTGTCTGGTGTGTAGATATAATATTATTCACGCAGTAACAGTAGTTTATGAAAGAAAATGTGCAGAACAAATCCGAATTTAGTTAGGAACGATCTCTACGCAGGATAAAAGTCATAACCGAAATGCAGTTGACGAGAAATATGCAAACAAAATATAGAAATATTGCTCTACCGTACATCATATATGTATGGGTATTTCTCGAGCATTAGAAAAGCAATTCTGGTGGCACAAAAAGGGTACATTCAGTTACGATATAAGAACATTCGTCATAGCTATATCGAAGTTACAAACGCAAAGCAACTGCACAGAAGACCGCTATAGTCAATATATAAGTTACTTTTAAAAGCCTTTAATATCACCACATGCACTGGGCGGGTATTTTTCTTATGTGTCTACTACAATCGCGACTGTACTAACCGCTAAAACGGTAAGTTATCTCTGGCTAAAAATTCATCAACGGTTTAGATAAATAGGTTGTAGACGCTTCCTATGCAGCATAATATTAGCTAGCTAAAATGATTAATAACTTGAGCTGCGAATAGGAACTAGCACTTGGCATTGGCGAGCTCGCTTGAAATAATTCAGTTACTATCCAGAAATAACCAGTTTACTTAAAAGACATTGTATTTTTATTAAAATGCGCTTTTGAACCCGGTTTAGCTGAATGAAAAACGACCATGTTGTTGATAAACAATTTCTAGGAACAAGCTTTTTCGTTGCTTGCTTTCTGTGGCGCGAAAACACAAAGAGGAAAAGTCCACCATAACAGCAAAACGGAGCACTTAATGGCTGACACAAATGATGCGACTAGGATGAATGGCAAGCAAGTGAATCACAAATCAATACCAGAGATGAACCCATGACAGATAAATAGTACATAGCATTCCATTCTGCTCCATGGCTTACCTTACATTCTCAAATATGAACATATTTGATCCACTTTTGCAGCATGGGCAGAACCCTTGTGTTACAAACATGTATGAAAATGTTGAAATATAAACTATTCATAATAATTATATCAAGTGTTATCTGTGTGTATCTAAAAACAAAAATAAATCAGTCAAGATCTTAACACCATTCTTGTTGAAAAACGTGATGGCATGTAACATTTGTTACGGCTATGAGATGTTTAATTATAGTCAAAATCACGTTGAACGATAAATTGTATATATATATATATAAAGGGAGTGATTTAGAGAAGATGCAACATACCTGATCTGCTGAAAGTCATCACGTACTGCCAGCATGGTAAGGTGGTGCTCACAGCTGAGCTGAAAGCGACCGCTGTCGAGTTGAAATCCGGCATGTCGGGCCAGACTAGTCCAACACGACACCTGAAAGCGATGCAAAGAGATTATTGCGGTGGCGCTATGGAAGTGCCTGGACAGCCGGGTCTTACGTGGACGAGTATTCCCAAAGAGCTTTCCGCGTCGCGTGAGCCTGGACAGTCCCGTCACTATAATTTTGAAATTCTCCAACCATCTGCAAAAAGCATGAAATTCCAAAATGAAAAGTTCAAGTCACAGCCGGCATATGTTCCAGCACGCTTACTAAAATGGTAGAGGTATTGTTGCTTTGTATAGAGTTGTGCCAACATTCTACAGCCGAATGTCTAGCAGACACCGCGCTCAGACCTATCGCCTTGTACAGCCTTATAAAAAATGCTATAATTATTAACAGTTAGCCACAGGCAAAATCTATAGCCATCCGTCAAAATGGAAATTGATTCATGTGGCCAAACCTAATCGTGGCACTGTAAAGCTGAAGCCGTGGTGTATCAAGTTGTTCCTGTTGTTTTCCCTGTTGCTGTTGCACCTGCTGCTGAGGTCGTGTTTCACTATTATCGTCATTATTTCCGTTATTATCAACAGTGCGTCCGGTGCATAGTTCGCCACTTGCGCTTCTGCCCTTATCCTTGCTGACCTTTAGTTTGCCTTTCACCTGCGCCGATCCGTTTTGCGTGTCACCAACATTGCCGGAATGAATTGCAGATCCAACGGCCTGCTGCTGTTCCAGCTGCCTTTGGAGTTGCTGCTGCTGCTGCTGTGATGATTGTGAAGTGTGCGTAATACCTCGTTGGCTTCTGTTGCTGCATTTAGTCTCAAGTGAGATACTGACGTTGAGACTTGTCGAGCGGAAAGCTCGGTATGAATCATGACGTTGATGGATCGAGTATTCAGGTAGTTTGTCAGCGGCGCAAGGCATGACCGATTGATGATCGAAAGGGTTGCCGATGCAACGCCACGTCATCTTGACGCTATGGTAAGAGAAGGAACGTGTTAGTATTCGGGCTGCATTTAGTAACGTACATTACGATGTCTACTCATCATGAATGTAAGCCACTATTAAAACAAAGCAGCAGATCTTTTATTTAGTTTCTATTAGCAGACTATATACTCATAAAAAATAAATGTTAATCGATCTCTGTTATGCTTACGAGAGCTTGAGATTAGGAAAGTGCAATAGATGGCTTGCGTAATATCTGCTAGCTGTGTAGATCAGTTGATCAAGGTCTCCCTGACAGATGATTCGACCATTGTGCCTAAAACGGTGGTAATTTCAAGTTATATTAATGAAATTATATAACTTTACGAGCCTTATTTTGCAAAGAAGAACATTTATTTATAATCAGTACAGAATTGTACTGACTGCGCATATCATGAAATACTGTATGTAAACCCACAGATTTTTTTTATTTATTTTGATTAATGACCCGTTTTGAAATACTTGCCAGTAGACCATTGCATTGGTCCACGTTGTATCGAGCATTTCGGTGTTATTGTATGGATTGAGCGATGCATGCTGCAGGTACGAAAGTCGACGCCCGGACACAGTTAGCTTTCCGTGAAAGATCAGACGTGTCTTGTCCCACCAGGGCAACGGTGGTGACGGATCTGTCGACGGCTTGTTAATCAGGTCCAACGCCAAATTCACCTAAAGTACGTAAGTAATACAGGAGAACACCTTGTATGTAAATGAAAGATTTCTTTCTCGTACAACGTTCATATCGGCCTTGTCCATGCCGCGCTAAACGATATATATTTTAATAGACTTAATTTTTACTAACCTGAGCTAGTACAGGCTCCCAACAGCTGCCATATACCACCGTGAAGGTGTTCAGATCGAACGTCATATCATAAAATAGCTTAAGAGATGGCATATTTCGTTGAATTGAAACATTTCCAAACGGCGCCTCCAGTTCTATCGTGCACGTCCTGTTGTATAAAGGCAATATGCGATAAACAGAAACAAAGTAGTGCCCCATCGCAAACTATGGCTAAGCGATATATTCGTACCTTGGTAGTGACTTTGATTTAACGTTACTACAAAAGAAATTATCGTTCCTCACCAAAATCGTTTACGAATGTTACAAGGGTAGAGAAAGATAAATCAATGTTTACGCGATGTGTACCTTTTTGCTCGAGCAGTTCCTTCCTGTTCAGCTCCGACAAGCTTGCCAAACCAGAAAAAGTCGTCCACTTCGAGGAGTTTCCGAGGGAAGTCTCGGAGACGGCATTCGACGCTTTTGCAACTACCGCTTATCACACGGCACCAAAGCGTCGCAAACTCCATATCGTCCGGCAGAGGACTGGAATAAAAATATTACAAGGTTTATGCAACGTGCTTAACGTAATGAAGGTTGGCCTGTGAGCAGAAGATCGAGACACCTCTTATGTTACCTATGGACTGCTTAGCTTCCTGAACAAATAACATATCATTAGTTGCTTCATACTCTTTGAAGCCAGAATAATAATACCTATTGGGATTGAGGTGTTTAATAACTGCTACCACCCGTTCCTTTCCATGGAAACTTGGGTCCGCCATAGCTGAAAACTCAAGGTGCTTGAAGGTCCAGTGCACCAGTGATAGCTTAGAACTTTCGTAGAGCTGTCGTGACCGTTTAATGTATTGCTCGGAGTTCATTTTATCCAGGCCCTGCGAAAACCGAATACGATATAAGTAAACAATTTGTAAAATTACAGCATTTACCAGGAAATTGAATACTGAATTTTCCAGTATTGATATAAATCTATCTGAATTTCATAAGCCTCAAAATATCCCGTATATTTAGCCGGGTCATACAGCAAAGACAAGGGAAAACTGTGTTACTAGATTGATTTACCATAACGATCAGCAACGGCTTATCTAAAAATATGAAATTTCTTCCTGTCGTTCGCATAAGAGTTTATTCATTTTCAGAATGTCTATTCCATGTGACTTTACTCTGCGTAGTATCTAGACACTTCTCTTAATGATTTTGCCTGAATAGAAAGCGGCTAGTTACGCACCTGATAAAGTTCCGCGATAGTAGCTTCTGAGATAAGTATATTGGTTCTGCGAAGTTTGTCAATTTTTTGGTCGAGTGTCTGGCGTCGTTTGCAACTTTCGAAATATTCGTCCTCAAGCAGCTGATAGTTTTGGCGAAGTTTTACTTCAAATGGATCATCTTGAATTTCGAACGAGACACTTTTTGCCCGCACAGTCAAATCGGCTGGCAGTGGAGATTCGGTGGTAAATGGTACACGTTTCTTGCCGTGAACTAGTCTCATCCATTTGAAACAGAGGATAAAATCTTCACTAAAAGCCTCCGCGAAGTTGTAGTCGTGCGGGAACTCCACACCAATATGTCCAAATGACAGCAGCCATCTACGACAGAGCCGAACAGGTATCGGATCAAGTTAAATGCTCTGTGCTAACTATACATAACCCTTGCGCATCGACTGGACAGAATTGTTCAGACGTCCTTCATCGTTTTGCTCCTGGTACTACAAACTGCACTAGTAGCTTGTCAATTAATCACATTTCACTATGTAGACTTAAGTTATTAACGTAAACAGGCTGTCTGAGCACGACATTGATTCCACAAATGAGGATAGATAGCTATCAGTCCCACCATCGTTGTATCGAGATTGAAAAGGACTAAAGATACCTTACAGAGCCACATTTTTTCCTTATGGCGATGTGAGTTGTTGATTTTATCCTAAAATTACCAAATTTCAGTCCTCAATACAACTCGTATAGTCAGTGGATTTCGGCAGTTAAAACATGTGCCTTCTGCGGCACTTCTACGAATTCGTAAACGAAAAAAAAAATAATAATCATACGCTTTTAGTATCGATAGATAGAAATATACCGTCGATTTGCTTCCTGTTCGACCGCACCCGACGATTTGAAATGTCTTCGCAGTAACCTGCTCTCCTCATTAACGGGGCAGAGTGCGTACTCAACTTTCTCAAACGTGAATATGTCGTGCTTATCAAAACGCCATATAAGTCGCTCACTGCTGATGCGAGCCTCGCGAGGTCGACGCTTCCACACGAAGTCGTGTGCAACAAGAAACATCGAGTGGCGTTCGCTCAGGCGAAACTCTAGCACCGAGTCACCGCAGAAAATCAACTTGAAGCCCTGGTCAAAAGATCCAACAAATTTATCAGCCCAATAGCTATTACCGAAGAGAAACATGTATGCTTTAAGCTGAGGATTGTTTATGAGACAAATAGCTATTAATGTAATCTGCTGTGTAACTCTGAAGATTTTCTTCGCAGAGGGCTTTGCATTAATGCAATTATTAACCATAACAAGTAACATCTCCTATTGTTGTAATAAATGTATCCAAAATAACAATGTCTTAACAGCTAAATCTATGTAGCAATAAGGTAAGATACCCACTCTGGCCTTAGGCGGATCGGTTGATGCGGTACTCGAGGTTGACTCACCGGACGATTTAAATATGACGCGAGTGTCATCAATGAGAGTGATCACGTGCAAGTACGCTGTCGTCGTCCACCATAAGCGCGACATCTGAATGATTCAAACAATACCGGGCTAGATACGTCAATATTCATTCGGTCAAATGAATCTTTAACGCCTTATTTGCGGCGTATTTGGCCATCTTCGAAATACGTTGCTGTCCTTGTGATGCCCGTTCTAGTTAGGTAAAAGAAAGGAAAAGACCAAATTACTATTTCGAATTAAAGGAAAACTCACCTCAGCGAACTCTATCGAAGTCTCCTCGGGTCTGCATCGTAATGTCATGGTCTTCACGTAGGCGGAGCAATTTGACATTAACTTGGCAGGAACCACCTACACAGAGCGAGTAGTCACAGAAAGCAACGACAAATAATCGGCAAAGGTATGATTTTTTTTGTCTTTTGAAAAGTGATCAAAAAAAGTTTCAGCACAGTCGCTTCAGTCCATCTAATACCCATTAAGCGATCCTTTCAGATGAATTTTTGACGCTGCTTTTATTAATATCCCTTTAAGTTCTGATACATCCACTTATCACTCACCTCGAATATTCCACCTTCAGGCTGAATCACCCTTAAAGCGCTCTCTTCTGCAACGAACTTGAAAGAACGACGATCGGCATTCATCCGTAATGTGTCCATTCGCAGAGCCACGTAATGTCCCACTGAGTTGAGGGCAAACAGATTCCCGTTGGTAACTGTCAGCTCGATCCCCAGCCGCTTCGTTGAAGTAGCCATCATTTGGCCATTTTCGGAACAGCCACCATTATCAGTGTTGGATTTCCCACATGTATTAGCTACAATATCGATTTGAACAGCATAAGGTTTACTAAATTATACTGAGTGGATACAAAATAAGAACATTAAATGAAGGAGCACAAACTGTTAAACATCAATGAGCCTAATTAGTGTATACACGTATTATATACGGGCAATGGAAAAGAAATTAACAATTTCCATTTAGTCTTTTAATCTAATTAAATACGCACCGTTTTCACTTTGAACGGACGCATTTGAGTCATGCCGTTTCCTACGCTCCCGTAAAAGTTCACGCAGAATATGGAGCAACTGTGGGGTCGTCTCGATGTGGATGTCGTTCATGGACCCCTCAAGATAAAACTCCTGCGATGTGTCACGAACCTGAAGGACGCACATGCCAAACGCAAGCGGCATGTTCCACGGATGTGACTTCTTTAACGTAGACGCCTAAATATGACAGAGAAAGTAGTAATAATGGTTACTCTGTATTTGAGAACAAAAAACAAATTTGTAAGGTCAGAGAACAACACCAGACGCGGAAATTGTTTAGTAAACATTTCGAGTTACTTCTAGAACTTCAAAGGATTATCAGGGATAGTGAAATACAAGAACGCACCTGGATTGTCGGGGGGAACGGACCAATCACGCAAACTCCTGTTGCCATCAAAAGCTCTGCTTGGGTCTCCCATTCACCACAAAGGTTGCGTTGGAGATCTGCAAAGGGATATCCGTTATTCAATAATTAGTCCATAGATTTTTCAACCTGCTTGTTTTAAGCGAAGTTAGACTTGCAACTGGATGCGTTTTTCACACAATTTCTATGAGTCTAATCTTATATAACTTGTTTTTTGAGTAACACAGTGACTGTAAAAGGACTTACCGAGCTCAACGGTAAACCGCGATACACCAGCATTAAGTTTGCGTACGCGAATCTGCGGTCCTGAAGGTTGCTCAGAGCTAGCGCTGTTCGGAGAACTTGGCGTGAGCGAAGTCACCAGATCCGTCACCTGAAGCGAGGCGTTTATTGTTCGAAAAAGACCATCTTCCGCTATAACGTTAAGCTGGCTCGAACCCTTCATCGGAATCTCGTCAGTCGTCTTCCATCTGAAATCATTACATAACAAGCGTTCCTCATTTTTTGAACTAGGAAATGCACTGGCAACGACACTAAGCGAACTCGACTTATCATATGCGAAGCTCAAATGTTTATCTACGCAGGAGGACCGTATAATAGCCGCGGTAAAAAAGCTTGGTAGGTACAGCCAGGCCTGTCGGAGATATGAAGCGATATCAGTTGTTTTGATGTGCTATGGCCAACCCTTCATCGTTCGCTTGTATGCTGATGTAGTAGGCAAAAATAATTGATATTCAAGTCGACTATCTATTGAAGCACGTGAATCTGACGAACGTTCTAATGTTTTAGTAGCTTGCTGTCTCAAAACAACCATTATCTAAGGTAATACTTTGTTGGTTTTGTTTGAATATGTATCAACGCACATAGTATAATTACTGTCAATGGTGTTGGCATCATGGCGAATACCGAAGCCGCTGTTTGTATTGGCTATTGCGCTTCCGGTACTGTCTTTATCGTAGGTAGAAGATGGCGGATGGCTTGGATTTATTCCTTGACCAATTTCTCCAACCTTCGCTATCCAGTAGTGCATTTCATCGCTATTGTAGTGCGTGTGGAGTGATTGCACCTTAAGAGCTACTGATAAATCGCAGTAGTTTTCCAGCGTTGTTTCCATTTCGGCTAATGCCAGACTCGCCAGCTGTGCTGTTTCCGCACTGAAGCGTGCTTCTTTCACACAAATATTACAGACCTGTACGAAGCAGAACAAAAAAATTGAAGAATCCAAGGATAACTAAATAGCGGTATTTTTGCTCTATCATCATAACTTTGTAGTTTCTGCACTCATAGGAAGAATAAATGTACGTTGGTAAGCTTCTTTCGTCGCCGAATTTCTCTACGTGGGACAAACAGATACGGATTTCGAGATTAAGACAGATGAAACTCAAGAGACACGCTTTACCTACCGCTCCGCTATCATTACAGAGTGAACCTGTGAAATGGACGAGTTCGAAAGATAATCCTGGTACCCAGTTATCTTTCATAACTTGAAAGCTGAGGGAATTCATTGAGAAATTGACTTTTCTAGGCAGGCGCAGCATGAAGCCACGCAGTCGGCCTCGACGCGATAATTGCGATTCCTCGTTCAGGGTACCGCCGTCCAAACCTGAAGCATCAGTTGACGACGCACGACGGCCGCCCCAATCGCCCAAATTATTTAACATCTTGTGCAGCTGAAGATTCTCACTGATCGTCAACACTGGATTGCGGATGTCAACCTGAAAATACATAGAAACAAAAAAAAAATATAACCTATATTCCGTTGCAGTGCTGCATTTGGTAGACGAAGACGAATACAACCACCTCCATATCCGTAACCTATTCAGAATCTCCTAACTTACTTCAAGCGACTTGAGCACGACAGGTTGTGAAAGCAGAATTGAGAGACGGCACTCAGCGTCAACACAAGCGTTCGCAAGGCACGTGTCCCGTTTTCTATCAGGCGGTTGGTGAAAAATCCGCAGAGCTGCCGACGACACTGACGCAGTTAGAGCGCAGGCCTCTTTGCCTTTCGAATAAGCGTTCAATGTTAATTCCTGTAGTTGATAAGCATGAATACACGAGTTAGGACTGTATATCACAACTTCATCTATTAGGCATGTAATTGCGAAGGGACTTTTAGAGATAAGTATAATTAGTGTTCAAAGGAAAAGGCAGCTGTCTTCTCGTATATCCAGTAGATGAAAAGTACAAATCGCGTTAAAACAAGCACTAATCTAGGACTAGTGACAGAGTAGTGTGTGAATTTAGATGGTACTTGTGTAGCCGGATAATTCTGGCCAAGGTATCATACTACTGTCTTAAATACCCAGGCATAGGACCCGGTGTCTAGAAAAGATGTACACATTATTTCCTTAATTTATTTATTATTTCCTTAAAAAATACAAATATCTAATAGATTTCGTTCGTATCATTCATTGAAACGAAAGCAACCGAGAACAAAATGGGCCAGTAAGAAACTAGAAATAGAAAACACTGGCAACCTAAAAAAACTGTCCAATCGAGCTACATATATGCCGTGCCGATGATAAACTGACAGACTGATCCTTACAGGGTACTTTATAGTGACAATATTTTATCTGCTTTTAATATAATAGTAGTCATAGTATTATCAACCTTAAAAGTGGTATGAACAAGAGAATCATTGCCGCCGTCCAGTCGCATAATATCTACGTTGTACAGATGAAGCGAGATGTTCTTAAGGGCTGTAACAAGCTTTGCTGGCAAGCGATTTCCACTTGCCCCGCCCACAGCGCCCTGTGCCGAACCCTGCGCCGTCTCATTTCCGCCCTCATCCTCGAGAAGTCCATCCAAACTGAGCTGCAGCCGAACGTCAGAGAAACAAACAGCTACCAGCGAGGAATACTCGTTGGAGAAAATGCAGGATGATATCCACAGTCGTTCAGCCTCCTGCAATCATATCAAGGAATGTAGGTAGAGTTTAGATGATTTTATTCAGCTGAATATTAACTAGGTAAATACGTTTCCTTTACTAAGTAGTCCTTTGAATTATATCGGAGAATACTCACGAACACTGTTCCATTTTTTAACTGTACATAAAGGTCCTGGACGGAGAAGAACTTGAAGAATTTGAGAGTGCCGATTCTCACTTTTACACTTAGCTTCCGTTGAATATAACGCGTAATCAAAAAAAGAGCTAGCCTGAAACAGATCAACAAAAAACAAGTATCACCTAGCTTATCATCATCATTATTAATAAAGCTTGGGAACAGTGATAGAGAAAGGCAGTGGGTACAGTAGAAGGAAATTAAAAAAGAATTAGCTTAAATTTACTGTACAGCTAGCTTCACTATTTCCAGTTTTGCGAGTCCGGTACTGAAGTCATTAGACAATGATTCAGACGGCTGGTCAACACCTTCTTGTACGAAACGGAGTGTGCCTGCATTCGGACTTGAACTTAGACCCCCTGTGTTCCTAAGTTTTTTAGGCAAACACGTTAACGCTGTACTCTCCCAGGACGAGCTTACTTGACGGCAAGCATTCGTAAAAAAATAACCTATGTTTACAAAAAACTTGCAAAACTAAAGTAGAAATTTACACAAAATGCGATCAAAATGTTTCAACTGAAGTCATTCGACGACAATTTGAAGGGCCGCGAAGGTACGACGTTATTGTGCCGAAATATATGGATTATATTCTAATTAGACAACCGTATTACACTTCAGAGTTGTTTTACAGCGTGCACTCTTTTCTAGAAAATGTATGCCATTAATATTAGTTTATTTAACTCATAAATATCAAAAACAATCGCGATAAATTGGCTTTGCCATCTTCGGACTGCCGAGAAATATGCACGGTTATATTAGAATTCCATTTGGCTAATAGCTCATGTTGGGAGAGAATTTCTACATTTGATCGTCAAAATTTGTCTGTCCTTTAATTGCCTAACTCTTGCCACTCGGCCTCGAAACACTACTTACAAACTATGTCATATGTCTATATATGTGTGTGTATGCATTTGTTTTTTGGGCTTGTATATTCAGTTTATTATTCACAAATCGCTTATAAATAGTGATATTTATTAGCCATTTATTAGACATAAATTTCATCATATTTAAGTTAACATTTATGTCTACGGCTTGTATAACAGCTGCGTATTACATCGAACGGTCCTGATCTCAGCGAAAGATAACTACTTCATCTATTGACGACATTTTTCCATTGTATCTTTGTGTCATTTAAATAGTGTACCTTTTACATTAACCACAAGAAGCGCAGATACACGTGTTAACATTATCCGGACTCTGGAATATCATATAATTCGCATTCAGCTCAGCATTGTATACACGCATGGTATTGCGGCAGGCAGTAGAGAATTGGCAAGTAATTTTTAAGGACTTTCAAGTGGCCCAGATGTGGCCACATCTGATGATTGGCCCAGTGCTTGCTGATGCCAGGCCAATCGTCAGATGTGGACGACCTAGCCTGGATCAATTAGGCATATCTTTCAACGTCGTAAACTTGTTAAAACCTGTAAACAGTTGGATAAGATCAAGCACTCTATGGAAAACTCCTCGAATTGCACGACCTTTCTTCGTCATGTCTGAAGTGTTCCCAAAAATTAACCTAAGTTCATTCAAACCAATAAGATAAATAAGAGGTGTGTACACGGTAACAATTTCTTCCATGAGGGTAGATGGCACGACTTCTGATTTGCCAAAACCAAAAAATCAGACTCACGATTACATGAAAACAACAATTCTATGGCTCGCAAACCCGGTTATTTTATAATTAGAGCTAATTAAGCTACTTATTAAAAAAACACTATTCAACGTTAAAGCAGAGTAAACAATGATTGACGGTCCACAAAAACCGATCTGAAACTGACTGTCAACAGAATCTCAGCTTTAGCACAAGTTCATCAAGCAATCCGGTGCTTATGATATCCATAACATATCCTAAATGGACGAAGATGGCGCGGCGGTAACGTGGACGCTCACCACTCTGGCGGGCCAGCTATTCCTAAATGTTCGATACTTAATAGACAGGTCTCGTAGAAAAAAAAGTTTCGATTAAGATTAATGCCTAAAACGCAGCTGTTCTATTTACAGCTCGCACCATATGATATCTCACAAAAAGAAAGCGTAGCCTGGCACTAACTCAAAGCCGTGTTGTCGAGAAGCTATTCCACTAGAAACTAACCCAGTAAAATTATCTCAGCAGAAACTACACTGACCTGGTATAAAATTCAGCTTTACAAAGTCAGCTAATACTTTTTCGTTTGTAATGTAATAATCGTCTAGTGATATCATATTTGAAATAAAATTTATAATGACAGAAGTATGTATTCGTCTGTACTGTTTTCAGTCAACGGAGAGACATCTTAAGAATGCCTACCAACGTATCATTGTTAAAGTCTATAAAAGGACGGGAGAATATAAAAAATTATCAAAAGCAAACATTTTACAACACTACGTACTATGATAAGTGAGCGGCTTCAAGTAATTCACACAAATCACATGTACTGCTAGGGAATGCGTCAGAGCTGACATGGGACAATACTGATTGTTGCCACCCAAACTACATTTTGTTCCCATCGGAAAGGCACCAACGGGTCCCATTAGGCTGGATACAGAGAGTTAAAAATACATATCTATATTCTACGTTAATGACTTCCAGCATATTCTGTATGAAGGCAACGCCAGAGAAACCTGGCATAAGCTAATTAGCCGAAACAATAGCGCAGCGACAGGAATTACATATTCATTTGATATACTTGTCGCCTTCACTATAAAATGCGGGTAATAACCCTCCTTCATATGATGTTGAATTCTAATCCATTTAAGTATATTAGATCAACATCATGTTTTGCATAGCTACTTAAGCTGTTCGGTATTAAGTCAGATGGCTGACCCACAGCACGGAACGAACTGATTCGAGCCTTCGCCAGCACTACGTCTAAGCCTCTATATTTCGAGTTTTACGTCCGGCAGCGCCGTTAGGATGATTTGACACGCCTAACACCCAGAAAAGTTACCCACTAAGTGACAAAGAGGCCGACATTTATCGGCAGAAACAAGACTGAAGACTGTCGTAGCATCTTTGTATTGGCCTATTGCGCAACACACTTGTGGCACACTACAAAACCGCATACATTAGTGAAGCTACCCAGCTCGTGTTTGTATATAAATGATGGTTAAGTTTTTGCACTCAAAACTTCGAATAAGATCCCTTCCGAGCCGGAAGCTGATCTTGTATCACGTGTCTGTGATTCGGTTTTCCGTGTCTTCACCGCAAGACACTCCAGCAGACGGGTGGTTCCTAGCACGAAATGAAGGGTGTCTATCCCCGGCTTTGAACCTAGACAACGTGTCCTTAAAATAAGCAAATAAATGCGTTACCCACTACAGTTCATATCACCCAAGCAAAACTAGCCGTGTACATCTTTTCTCTATCAATATCGTGATCTGTTTTGGGTTGGCACCAATAGCCCGCGTACATTCTAATCAAACATAATTTTTTGCGCGATCTGATGAAACTGCTTTTTATTCAGTAGCAAAAATCATTGTCTTATTATTTAATTAAAATCTCGATATTAGAAGTTCATACCTGTATAACAGAGCTCCGGCGCAGACGAGAAAAGTTACAAGTCCCGCTAGAAGTAGAATGCTTGCTAAAAGCATCTTTTTATTGGTGAATACGATGACGGTCTTAGGGTAGGTGGTTCTGTAGCGCCCACACACTAATTAAGTCGACACTTTTCCCACTTTAGAGGACACTCTTCAAACAGGAGGCGGCTTATGAAGCCACTTCCTAACTGCAGTTTCACGAAACATTCACATATCGTTTTAGATTACATCTACATCTGACCTGTGTCAGTCGGAGTATTCTAGTCACTTCACTTGGATCCATTCATTGAGAAGACATTCTAAAAAATGGTTGGACCGGCAAGCAGTCGCAGTTGATACTGAAAAATCTTCCAATGCAGAACCCAACAAAATAAAAATGGTGTAACAAACGAAAACCTATGCTGCCAACTATGCGAGAAAACACAGTTGTTTGCATCTAGTCGACCATCGCGAAAGACTCATAACTCACAACAAAGTCCCCGGAGCACCGCATAAGTCTCCGAGACTCTCGCTTCGACAGTGGAGTGGTGTTCTTGAGCGCCAAAATAACAGACACCTTTCGACAGCAGCACTGTAGTCAGCTGAGACAAGCGACCAACAATTAATCGTCACGTACTGCCCCAGCAGCTAGCAAGTTACCACCGGTAGCGTCTATTTATCTGAGCAATAGTGGGCAAATGCCAGTTAGCACAGTGACACCCACATGCGCAGCGATGCCAATGTGTGTGTTCTACAGCCTGGACTGCGCCATCTTTGCTTGTAAGAGAGGGTTTATCGTTTGCAGCCGCGAACTCCAAGCCGCGCCTATTACGAAATAACGCAAGTTAAGTAAGAATAGCGAAAATCATGAAGTTGCCATACCACTATAAGTGAACAAACAGGATGTATTGGAATTGAAAGTAATATAAACATCCTTTATGGATTCATGTACACATGTATACAAGTAATTCAAAGCATCGGGTGTCGCACATTTTTGTGTGTGATGGATGAAGGTTATATGTGAATTTTGCTGGCATGGACTAGCCGTATTGGTCTAACATTTTCGATATATATATTATAAGTGCTTCGACAATCTGTGTCGCCGCCCATTCGTGCCGTTAATCACGGAGATATATCTTTATATTTCAGGACCGCTTCATGGTTGTATAATACATTAAGGGTCGGTGGAGTAGCCACGTTGCTCTAGTTTAATCTTTCCGGAACTTTTTTTTCAGTGTTTAGTAGCGCTAACAGATCCCTAGGAGCAGGCGTATGCCGATCCGTAACTTTGTACAACTGAAATTCTAATTAAGTGAAGCGATGTTAAATTTTGTATTAAGATAGAAAATAAGTTCCTAACTGTTTTTTTTTACAATTGCAGTAGCAAGGGCCGTTGCTATCTAAAAATGCATTCTAGAGAAAAAATGCTAGGCGAATTTTGGGCATCTTAATATCAGATATTTCTAAATTTGCTTCAATTGTAGTTTACATATTCTTACACATTGTCTTGTTAAAGTTTGTAATAGCTTAATCGCCAAGTTGGTACTTGATGAAGTATTCATTTTAGGTGAGATATTCCAGACTTGACACAGATTGCAACGCATATACTTAACGGATATATTCTCTAAAATAATTAAGAGTCTCACGAAGTTTCGTTAAAAGGTTTGGCGTATATAACAGCCATAATCCCCTGCTTCTTCCTCCTAATTTTTATCTGGGCAGCCTGTCAGGTGCAGCGTCTTTCAAAGTTGGAAGTGACCCGATTCTCTGGACTGCGCTACAGCTAATGGTCTATTACCTGACGCGAGTTTTATTTTTCACAAAACTGTAAAGCTTCTCAAGAGAATCCGCGTACCGGTAAAATTGTACACGGTTCTTCTTTAATATTGTTCACTTACCGATTATACCTGTTACCTCATAACAGTTGTTTTCTGCAATGCCAAATATGAAAGTCTTCCGCAATGAATCGGAAAGGCCTGTGGCCATGAAAGGCCTACAATCACACTTTGTGCACAGGACAGTTTTTTGACGTTCCACATCACAATGTTCTGCGTGTCGAGTTGTGTTTTACATAACGCGATTCGAGCTATGCGTTTTCTCTGACCGGTCCCCATTGAGCACCTGAACGTCTACTACAGTGATATTATGTCATGATTCACATTTATCATCGAAAATTTCTACAATAAGCGTTTTATTGTTATCATAAAGCTCTTTTCGATATGGCTATGTTTAAAAAAAATTATCTATTAGTACAGTGCTTACGGAAGCCGACGCTCACGAGCTGGATTGGCCTATTAATAATAAATATACTATTTTAAGATTTACTGAATCAATTTACGTCGCTTTCTTGATCGCCGTCATATGCAGCACATATGTTAGAATCACACGCTCTACCACTGACGATCTCGGACAGCATGCCGCCGTTCGGCGATCGAAACGCACACACCATTGCTGTCACATTAATACAAGTTGGGGGCATGAAACATACGTTGACTCGCAGTTCGTGAATCAATCGAATCGTAACCGGCTATTGGACGGTGACCGTGTCGATGGACTAAGTGAGGGAGAGAAGTTGCATTGGAGGTAATGTCATATTTCTTCGAGGATCGTCAATACCGACAGGTGAAGTAGCTGTTAGCCTAATACCTCCTGCGATCAACGGTGGCGGCGTCGATAGACGTCTGCAATGAAGGCGCCACTGTCATCAGCTCTCATCCCACAGGCCAGTCGGCGATGACCAACAGAGTTCCTCAGTTGATAAGACCTTGCCTAGTCGAAAACATTAAATCTTATACTAGTCAGACTATCGCAGGGTACCCACGCAGACACTAGCGACACTGTACTCTAACGAGATAGCAGTATTCTTGGGTCGAGAAAGATTACTGCGATTTTGTCCGTCCGACGTTTTTGTGGAGTTCGACAGTTCCGGCTGGTCCGTTTCGAGTGGAGCTAATTCGTAGTTTCTCGTTGAAATGGATACGCTGGCACAAGAAAATCCAGATTTTTTCGACCCAATCCCGTTGCATCCTCTTCTGCGCCATCGGCGTTGTCACGAAAAAGCCATGTTCGAGGAGAATGTGCGAAGAAAGGTGCGTCTGAACAAAAACAACAACCTCGAACTATTCTGTATATCCATATATCTTTAGTGTAGCTCATGCTGGTGATCTTTCAGCATTGCCTCGGTAGCCAATGTCTGTTATGCCCATAATTTGGCGGCAGTTGACTATTTTTGGTTCTACTCTTCTCTAAATTGGTTCAACTATGCAAAGTCTGTAGAAAGGATGACATTTTATTTTCCATTTTATTGGTAAACAATTATGAAAGTATGTTAGTGAAATATTCTACAGGTGAAGCGAAAATAATTTTAATTAATGATTTCTTGAATTTTATTCAATTAAGATTGACTACAGTTGTGAATAATTGATCAATTTTATTAATTTGATTCTAACGAAAGGACGTCCAGAACGTCTAGGTAGAACTTAGGAATACCATGGTACACCGTGTTTGTTGTCCGTATGCATCGAGAGTTTTTTGGTTGATTTGACCAAACCAGTTGCTCCAGTTATTGGCCCAATCAACATTTTCAGAGACGTCACACTACTAATAATCGAGTGGTCAAAACGATCATATGTACGTTATATAACGAACGCCATTTGCCAGTTTGAAAACCTTGATTTTACATTCATCAGAGTATAATAGGATAATGACATTTAATGAAAATAAGAGTAAGTGAATAAGAGAATACTTTCAGATTATCAGGAGATTTTGTAAGTGAACATTTTTGCACCTAGATTAGATTACTAACTACGCGACCTTCTCGTACCCGTCCGCCCCCCGCCGAATGAAACCCTGGTTTTATATTAGCACAGGCATTGAGAATTTGATGGGGTGTCCTGTAATGATGTTGAGTAAAATACGCCAGTTTTCTCACTGTCGATTAAAAGTATTGCGTTGTCTTCCGCCGTTTCGAATAACAGGCGATACAGCTCGTAACATTGATCAAGCCTGAAATCATCTTGTACACAACAAAGGATAACCCCGGAGCTGTCTACTATATGGAGTTGAGCATGAATAAAAAGCCCAACATTGGAAAGAACGGATGGGTTTATCATTTTCGAAGCAAAGTTGTAGCGGTAAGGATTCCATTCAACTCTATTCTGAAATCACCATGGTTTGTTGTAGCTGACTAGGTGATTCATTAATTTTCATTTTACTGCTTAACACCTCGTAAGCAGCTACGAAAGCTATTCATAAATCTATTTTATTGTCTATTTTCCAATAATATAGTCGCATAATTAGCGAACCGCTCGCTAGTGGCTTTTTTCTACAAAATAGTTTTTTTTCCTTTATTTCTTTCGAGTTCCACCGTTTCTCCGGTATCGAAGCTTCCGCTCTCTTATAGCTAACTTTTGGTTTTTAATGTAGGAATGAAAAATTGCACTTGTATACGAAAATGGTTCTTGCCTAAAATAAAATCTCCCAACAAATAATTTGTCCTAACAGAATTCTAAAGTTGAAACGTTCTCGGCAGGTGTTACACTCCGTTATGCTGATGTCATGATGCACTCATTTAATTCAGATGCAGAATCTCCTTAAAATCCAATGTTTCGGTTGAATGTGTAGCATTTGGATAAGAATATTGCGTGTGAAATGTGTATTGTTTTTTAAAAGGGCTTCTTAAGAAGCCACTACTATACATAACTATGTGTTTTATGTATGTTTCTTATTAGATACTAAATCTATCATTCGAACACCGGGTTCGGGTCGGATTTCTTCTTACGGACAATACCATGCAAATTGCCTTGATTGATCAAGAGTTTCGTTGGCAATCGAAAGGGCAAATACGTGGTGCAGCTTTCGATTTAGAAAGATCCCATCTCATGGTCTACAGCCGCACTTTAAATGCTCTTTTTTGGCCATTCCCGAGCGAGCAGTGTGACGGTAAGGTAACTTAAATTTAGTAACACCATGTTTATATCGTGCCTACATATTCCATCTTGGGCATCCCAATGCAGCAGGCTCGTCAATATAAACAATACGTAATAACACATTCTAGTTTGCAACCCCGCGTTGACGCAACGTTTGAACATACGACTAGCTTTCTTTAGGGAGCGATGCGCGCTCGGTGGCGCTGCTCAAATGAACTAAGTTAGCAATCGTCGATGCGAGTTAAAGTAATTCACCAACCAGAACTACCCGGTATTTCACCTTCAATAGACGCCGATGCTCAGACCGACGAAAAAAAATGGGACGTACAAATGTGCAACGTGAATATCCGTCAGCAAATCACCGTTTTACGCGGACTGCCCGAAATGGAGTTACAGGCACTCAAGGACGAACTTGTCATCTTGTTTCGCCGGCACGGAGTGCTTTTCCTCGAATACAAACAACTGAAACCTCTGCTACCTAGCCATGCGGGGTCGAATCGTTTATATATAGACAAATACGAACGTTATCATGGCTGTATAGCTCATCGTCACACATCGCATCTAGGTAGGGATCAGAACGACGGACGTACAAACGAAACCCGCGATTGGTCTGACCGAATGAGGCCTCATGATGAAGATTCAGCCATCGGTTCAACTTTTTCGGACTCCACTGAAATGCCTCCGCTACAGGTTCGTATTAGGTAGCAAATGGGCGTTTTTTCCATTTTATTTGTTACTCGTTTTTTTTGTATAATAATGTTAGCTTGAGTGTTATTTGTCGCAGCGAGGCAGATAATTGCTGTAGATATTTTCAAAATACAACTTATATTTAGGATATATATAAAAAAAAGCATACACATTTTTGTCGATTTTTGTGAATCATCAGTCGGATCAGAATTCTTAATTTCTGTCTGAATTATGCTGTAAGCTACAGCAGTTTTTACAACGGTCCACATAAAATTGACAAAAAGCTTTTGTACTTTACCGTGTCACTGCATTGTCTATCGTCACATTTAATAATATCGACAATTTGTCGGTAATAATAAATACATATCGACAAAATTGGCCTTCAACTCACTCACCCATCATGTACCCGTTTATATTGCAGGGAATACACTGGAGTCCAGACATGACGTACTTCGAGTCTATTAACGATCTCAATGCTTTTAAACCAAACAGAACGAAAGTCGTCTTGAGAGGCCATTGCCATAGTAAGGATCAGAAAAGGCTATATGATAGAAAGACGGTAAGGATCATCACAGCTTCACTGTAATAACAACATATCATTGCGTTATTATCAAGCTATACGTACAAATACACTTTTCAAAGGCAGAAATACTGCGCACAAAATGTGTGTGTTTAATGAGCATTACCATAAAAAGAAATTGGTTAGCATTAATTTAAGGTTAAAGTTTTAATGCTCTACGGATCTTTAACGTTCTGCCAAAAGCCAATAGATTATAGAAGGAAGGTATTCTTAGTTTGCAAAAGCATTTTTATTTTACTGGTGTCAACCTGGGTTTCTACTGATCTGTATTACAGATTTGTTACGTACTCAGGCCGGGTTTCCCTCGACCTATAAGCATCATCTTCAAACTTTCAAATTTTGGCTATTTTGTCGCGCTATTCGTTCCATTACTGTTCGTTTCCTTTGTGACCTTGTTTGGGATATCTGCAAAGAATTATAGGGCACATTATGCTAACGAGTTTATGAATTGTTTCAGTATACGAAGAACTACTGCATTGAAAGCATTGTCACTGGAATTAAATGCTAGCTTTATCGTTTTATCCAAAGTCTTGATCGTGGTTCAGTGTTTGAATGAATGTCTTTCACTTGCAGAATAATGACGAGGTGAAGCGAGTGATAGCCCTCTATGGTGACATTGTTTATAAGCTCACACCAAGTACCTGCGTGCCCCTCACGTCGATAAAGGTGCCGATTGATCTGGTCGAGCCATTCCAGCTGATGTTCCTGAGTCGAATCGTGGTTGTGTACAACAACCGAACAATCGCTGGCTATATGAACTCGTCAACGCCGGTCAAAGTTCGCAAGGGGGAGTTTCTCCTAGCAGGTTATGGTATCGTCGTGGACAATGACGGCATCTTCAGAATCAAAATGTCGTTGCCGAAGTCATACGAAAATGAAGAGAGAGACCCCTATCAACACCCGCCATCACCCTTTTTGCCAATTCAAACGTAGTGCGTTATCTCTGTCGACATGCTTTGGCGGCACTTTATTAAAAGTTAAACTAAAAACATCGAATAGAGAAAAAAAAAACAAAAAACTTGGGACAAAAATGAGCAAAAAATCTGAGTCAATGTTTTCTTAATTTTTTTTAACTCTTGGCACCATATAAGTGCAGCGATATTTTAAACCAATATATGTATATGTATATATATATATATATATATATATATATATATATATATATATACACATATATACATATATCTGTCACAATAATATATAAGTATACACATACAGTATATAGATGAATGAGCACATATTTAGATATTTAAGGTAATGTATTTACTATTATGCAAATATATTTATATAAATATACTCCAAAGCGGAATTAGTCTTATTTTTACAAACTTAATACACAATCACTTCGGATTTTTAAAAGCTATTGTGAGTGTGATTGCACACATGTGATTCCGCTACATTAAGATGTTGTCGAGCTGCAATTTATCGGCCTCAATGAGCGTATTCTGGCAAAAATAAAAGGTGGTGTACTTTATACACTCACAATGCACATGCTCTGTCCTTTTTTTATTCTTTATTAGTTACCTGTGTATGGAATCAGCCGTGTCCGCTGCTGGGCGACATAGCTGCCAACGATTAAGATAAGTCCAGAATATCACACTTGATATATGGAACACAGTATGAGACTGTAGATGTTCAATACCTGTTTACACACATCAGATCGTTGTCTAATATGGGCCACTATAGTAACGGTAGCCACTCTCTAAACGATGGCTATATCCTGAATAGTGAAATGAATTGCTGTTTATTTAAATCTAACCAATTTGACACACAAGCTGCCATGTGTCGGATTAATATCTTGTAGAAAAAAGTTCTGTTAGGATATCTCTGTTTTTATTTGTACACAAATGTACAGATTTACAAAAACACGAAGCGTTAGAATTGGAAAACATAAAACATTCTGCATTACCTGAATCGCCATGCCGGAAATAATTTTGTGTTGCACTTCCGCATATAGGTTAACTAATTGCGAATGACGACCAGCTCATAACTTTCTAGCTTCCGAAGGAATTATTACGTCTCCTTTTACTCATCATGTACATCATACATTGCCATCGAATATTTTTCGTGCGTACTTCCTATGCGTAATTACAATGTGCATAGTCAGTTGGCCATACCATGTGTACCTGCCTGTTATCCGTGAGGTATAACTTCTAGACGTCTATATAGCTTACTGTAGTGAACACAAATAAGGAACGTTAACTTACATATGAAATGCATGAAGATGATGAAAATGCAAAAAAACAACAAGAGATAGATTGAAGACGATAATTTTAAGAATAGGAAACACATTTTTTCATTACGTTGTTCTATAACAGAGCCCGGTCCTTTTTATTTAAAGTGACAGCCATACATCATATAGAGAATGGATAAGTTTTAGTCAATGCACATCCGATAACACATTCTTTTGCATTTTTTACGTCAACCTAAAACACAGTGGTCAAAACGATATTGTCCCTTCTTCGAACACGAACCGCCTCTCCTTGTTCCATTGGCTTCAATCTAAACTCAATTTATCTCACTTTTCTCTTCTAAAACTATCGATTTCAAGTGTTTAGCTCTTAAGAGCATCGATGTTAGTTTACGCTCTCCCTTCTTTAGCTTGTTTCCCTCCATGAGCTAATATAGTGTCGTGATTCGCTTTGTCTTTCGCGCTTAGTCGACACGGCCATAACCTTCTTTCAAATTCTCACGTTCATAGACCTTAACTTGGGTGTACTTATACGCGTCAGTGGGTATGTAGAAGTTACCCATGTAATCACCGCGTTGTTTCTGCAGCAGGTTTACCTGAAGCAAAAATCCTGAGATATTATTGATGATCATTTACCGCATAATCGCAAAAAAACACGTTAAAATCTAAAGTCATATTTAGAATCACCGGGCTCGTACCGAGTACTAACTATTGCTATGTCCGCTCTGGGCAAAAACAAGTAATATATTATTTACGGTCTTCAAAATATACGATTACAACAAGGAGACCACTAGTTAACCCTAACATGGATATCGAAATTTCATTTATACAGACCATATCAATAAGCTGTACAAGATTCGCTTTTTTAGAATCTGCCGAATGTGACTCCGTTCACAAATGCTAACACTATTAGATTAGTGGCAAAAATTTGAATGGGCGGCCAGAAAACGTGTTCAACAAACTTTTGGTTATAATATGATAGTATTACCTTTGAATTACGCAGTTGCCATACGTTACGTATGTATGAGACACGTGGAGATTTATGGAATTTGCTTTAGAACACTTTTCAGTTTCTAGCATTACGTGTTACGTTAAAACGTCGCTCATTATCGCTTACAAACGGAGAACATCAAGCCGATTCTTCAGATGTTCCGTTTAGCACTAACCTTAGCTTCGATTCTTCTCATTTGTGTCTTTTCAAACTCTTGCTGAAGATGGTGCATAGCTCTCTCATAGTTAGCCTGATGATCACTATAAACGTACTTGGCAAGCCAGCGAGTAATCGGGTGCTAAAAATCATATCAAAGAAAAACGACTTCATTTCGTTTAAAACCCGTGTCTAGAAAGGAATTACTGATATAACATATTTTTTCTGCCTTAAATCTTGATTCATCTATTCAAAAATCGATTTCCGTGACAACAGATTGCACTCTACGGCGCTAACGGGATTAACAGGCACAGGCAAATATCACCTCGTGAATATTTAGAGCTAGTAAGTCGAGATTGCTTTTCTTACGCTGTAATACTCGTAATACTCAGGTACATAACCCTCGGGGGTTTCAGCCAGTTCCGCAGGGCCGATAAAGATGTTGACGAGATGGATGAATACGAATACGGGTATGGCAGCGCCCCAAAAGTACAAATGCAGCTCGTCTTTGCATTTATGCCACGACCATTTCGATGGCGTAATTTCCATTATGCGATGGTGGTCGCTACAAAAACGGGTCGAGTGCCGCTGCACAAGGTCACTTGTACTACTTTTGCCATCTATCAATAATACCGAAAAAATACAAAGCGTCAACAAGGTTTAAGCTAATGGCTACGTAAATTCGAACGTTGAGCGTATTGCATAGCTGGTCAATAGTAGCTGCACTACTACTATTAATAATAATAATACAATTATTATCATGAAACGAACGAATTAATAAGATGTCAGTGTCAAGATTGCGTATATAAACCTGTATGATCTGACCAAATTTCGTGTTATAATAATTATTGGTTGTAAATGGACTCATGTTTTGTACGTATGTATGATAAAATATAATTTATGGACCACATTTAAGCCAGAAATATTGCGATTTTGAAACAGTGACACCGTCACAAACCACTAATTTACTCACTGTGCTATTACCGAAAAACTTCTTAGGAACTATGCATCTTTAAACAATTTGTTTATTGCTAAAAGAACATGAACGTTCTTTTCAATCCTGCATCCTGGGTGACGCTGTTTTGCTAAAAATCATGTATATGATAGAAGAATGTTCATTTTACACAGTATCTATTATGTCCAATTTTCTCATTACATACTACATAGCACGCAGGCAATCAGTTGGAATTCAAGCTGGCGTTCCGCCTCATACATAACGAAAAAAACACGAGTATTCACCGTCGTTTGTAAATGCAGCAAAGAAAAAAGGACATAATATTTAAAGGCACAGCATAAGGCAAATATAATAATAGGAAAGATTACACACTTTGGTACCTAACGTATCCGTTCAAAAAAGGTACACACTATTTAGGGCGACGCGAACTATCGGCCTGGTGGTTGCGGCAAGAAGGCGACTAAAAACTGCCATTGTCCCTTGAGCTAGATGATCACACTGAATTCATGAGCAACGAAAATCCGCGACAACAGCGTGTCTTGCGCATACAGCGCTCCGATAAATATTTCACAAAGACTCTAGCAGGAGTCGTAGTGTTAGCTGACCCTCTATAACACATTCGCCGTTCAGGACACGACGACCCGTTTTGTTTTGATCATCTCTCTGTTCTATGCTAAAAGGTCGCTGTATAACCCAAGCAGGCAGAAGGAAAGACTGGTAGATGGCAACACTTGACAAGAAAATGTATGAACCTCTGTGTATATGTGCAGTCATAAAGTACAAACAATAAAATAAACAGGTCTACGAAAGTCGTTTGGACAATATCTTTGGGGAATAAGTCTGCTATAAAAGTAATAATCTGCTTTGGTAAATGGCAACCGTGGAGTCGCCAAATACCCCAGATGATTCGCGATGTTTAGCAGACCATCTCCCTCTACTTGGTTTGTGTGTCAATACAGCAGATGATTACAGCGCACGTGTTTAAGGAGTAGAGCGAGCCATTTAAGACTAAACAGACCTGTAAAGTTTGTATATCTATTTTTTTAAATGTAAATACCGTTCTTTGTTTATTGTTTTACGCTTAAAACTCATCTTTATGTGAGTAACTGCAGGTGTGATTCCGGTAGCTACTAAGGGTTTGAAAGATGTGAAAATATTTCATTATATTATTATAATGTAGCTGTTTCAACAATTACTGAAATACTTAGTGATCTACAAAATTTAAAAAAAAACAAAAAACGGTAAACTTACACCTATTTGTAATGAGAGTTGCGTCGAATGTATATTAGTATAAAAATCTTGAAAAATGAAAGATTGCCATAAACTTGGTGTTATATGATGATTTCAGCTCTCAAAACTGACGGAGTCTATAATAGAAAATAGGTGTTCTGCGGCGGATTTTACTTGATGAGAAATCAAAAAAGCTGATATAGCTTAATAAGGTAATTTCGCCAAACGTAAAGCAGAAATAAACATATTTTTTTTATATCAATAGCATCTATTAGTTACTCTAGTTCGATATACTAAACAGTGTTTTAGAAAAATTAGAAAATTGCACTTGCGTTAGGGTTTAACTTGGTCCGCGTTCTCTCATTACAGATCACAGACAAATTTCAGATGGCGTTTGCAAAGTAAGTGAATTCTCGATTTCAACGTTATTATAAGGTATTTATTGCTAACCTGTTTATACTATAGAGTTTTAGAGCAGCTTCTAGGTAAAAACGTTTAGATTATTTCAAGGCATAACAGTGATAGCTAAAATATAGTGTCGTTTGTTATGCAGAGTCGCAACAGACGTCTCACCAGGCGTGGCCGAACGTCGAGTAAAAGAATTACTGGCGAAGGCACAGCGTCGAGCAGCTGGTCTGGATATCCCAAGTAGCCCAACCCGCTGCAGGGCAAGTAGTTCGGGATCCAGTGGTGATAGGGATGCTGAGGTTGAAGTCGTGAAGGTTAAAGAACCAAGATCAAAACAACTTATTAAAGCTTCCCTTAGCAGCGGCTCTGACTCGGATTCAGATGAGGATGTCAAACCCAATATCGTGAAGTCATCGGGCGTTGTTTCACAAGAGTTAGCTGTACTAATCAGAACCCCTAAACGGTCTCCGAGCAGCGACTCCAGTTCAGAATCCGAGCTAAAGCGAAAGCCGGAACTGAGAATTACAAGAATGAGTTTTCGAAACCCGTCCGAAACACCTAAAACCAAGGCTTCTAGTAGCAAGCCTATTCGAAAGCGAAAACGGAACTCGATTTTACCCGTAACAATCATAAACCCTTGGAAACGGAAAGCCCCTGAGGTGAAGTGTAGGGATATATCCTAAAGAAAGAAAAACATCATTCTTTACTTTCCGTTATGCTTTCATTCGTCAATCATCGCCGCGCTAGATGACACGATCTTTTGTTCAGAGCTACTCGTGTTGCGTTTTTTTATGAATTTGCTATGCTGTCATGCAAAATTTATAATGTTTACTTGATCACAACCGTTAAATATATAAACACTATTTATTTTTACAGCCGTTGGATACTAGCTCCGATCAAGAATGTCCGGTTAAAGCTTCGAAGATGGAAATAAGCTTTAAGGAGGTTTCGTCTTCTGAATCAGAGGACGAAAGGCCTCTACGGCCAGTACCGTACGTACTGCAGATAATTTCAACTTTTTATTCCCTGGTGTATCTTGCTAAATTAGGCCGCAATGCGTTAAACGATCGGATCTGTAGGCGCATAATTGGCGCTAAGAGATATGAATAAGAACCATATTTAGTCAGAAACGTTTGGACGCGCAGTTCTCTTTCATTTTTCGTACTGTAAGTTGTCTGTAATTGAAATTTCTAGAATATAAATGAATTGCAGGATACTTCAGAAGAAATCATCTTCAGATGGTTCAAAAAAACTACCGAAATCGTCTTCGTCTTCGAGTGATAGTTCCAGTAGTGAAGAAAGTGATAACGACAATGAGCAGTAAGCGATCTTTTAGTGTTAGGAAAAAACTACAGATATATGTATAATCTAGCTTTGGTCGATAAGAACAAAGATGATAATCTATATGCACAGGTACAATTGTATTAAATCGTGTTGTTTTAATTTCTCTGTTGGGCATTGATGTGCGAAATACCGCTCGCGTGCCAATTATGATATAAATAGTAATAATAATTAACGTCTTATATACGTAATACGTAATATATTTGTAGATAAGTTTCCTTAGTCGAATAAAGCTGTACTTGGTTTTTTGAACAGTTGAATACTAGAAATTTTCTAGAACAGCTTTAGCTGCTTAGAGGTATACTTTTGGTTGCTACACAGATTTTACATTTGCTCCTTTTTGACTTTAACACTAAAGATATTTAATTATATGCTTTTAATGGCATGTTAAAATAGTGACGTCTCATCTAAGATTCATCATTTATTTTCGCATTTTTGTACATTTTTTTAGGGATGTTCAACCAAAGGTTGCACCTAACGAAACTGCTTCGGAGGGAGCGGGTAGGTCAACATCAAAACTAGTGGCATTTCATTATTCGGTCACAAGAATTTTTATGTCATAACCCACATTTCGATAAGTACAATATATGCCCTCTATAGGCATCCTACAATATTCGACACTGGATAACAATTTACTTGATTTGAATGAAGGTGTCTGCTTTCTTTGTTCCGGCTTTTATTTTCCTAGAGGCTCACCCTCTATCTTCTAAAACTTCTTGATTACAATTGTTGAACCACGAATATTGATGAATTGTTCTACTTATGCCATCCTGTTATTGGTTACCTATTAATTGAGAAACTGTGTGTAGCTCTAGTTCATTTGATGATTTCGATTGCCGCAGATACTAAGAAACCTGCAAGTGATGAAACAGAAGTAGTCGCGGACACGGAATACTTCCAGACGTTGGGAACTGCCGAGGTTGGCAAAAAAAAAGCTCCAGTAGTGGCTGCAGTTCCCAAGTGGGTGCAAAGAGCTGTGCGCGTATCAGCAAAGGTTTGTCCTTGTCTAGCACGATCATTACCTTGTCGTGGATCTGTTTCTTCACCGCGAATAGAATTAGAACATTTCAGAGCGTTAACTAAGCAGTAGAGGTTATGCGCTGGATGCGTTCGATATGTTAAAATAGTTTTCTTACGAAGGTTCTTATGAAGGCACAATGTATCTCAAACCAAAGTGTGAAATTACTACTTTCCTCTTGATAAATATGATGATAAATATTAGTGTTTGCTGTTTGAGTCAAATGAGTTGAAGCTTATTCTGTGTATAATTATAAAGGTGGAATCACTCGGTGATCTTGAAGATGAAGTGGAGCTCCTTGGAACGAACTTGGTGGCCGCCCTAAGACAAAATGGAATCCAAGGCCTATTTCCTATTCAAAAACAGGTTATCAGGTATTGATGCGAATCCTTGTTTTATGAAGCTATGCTGCTGTTCTGTAATTAGTATTATTAAAATTAGTGAAAAATGTGTTCATTTTTATATCCATTCACACAGATATAATTGCAGGCCAAAATTTACAGTTTATTGCTTATTGATTGATAGAACTTCTAGCCGTACGTGAAACACATCAGTGGCCTAACTATTGGTGGATAACTGAGAAGACGCTTTAAAATGACGATGTTTTTTGCTTTCAGATCTCTCTTGGATAAACGAGTTATTCGAATGGGATGTCCTCCGAGGGATATTTGCGTCGCGGCTCCTACTGGAAGTGGCAAAACACTGGCCTTTATTCTGCCCTTAATTCGGTTGCTTGAGAATAAACTGGAAAAACTAGTACGAGCCGTTATTCTTTTGCCAACGGCTGAATTAGTTAAACAGGTATGAGATATATCTGTACTCGTCATTTTCAAGTTATGCGGACACCAAATGTGTATATATATATATATATATAATCAAGTGTTGATATATATATATATATATACATATCAATATTTAAATTTCGAACGGGTCAACATAAAATTAAAAAATAAAAATGTAATTTCTTCTTTTACAGTGGATGTTTTAAAGTAACCGCCGTTCCGATTAATACACTGTTTGTAAGGGTGCGTTACTTGTTCACAAACTTCAGCAAATACTTAAATAGGTGTTTGTGGCGCATTTTTGCTTAAATGAAGCCTTGAGATATTCCAGTGTTGTCATTTTTGACGTGAAGTATTCCTGCAAGGGAATTTGTTAGCGTCAGTTCTTGGAAACGGGCAAACTATTCTATAGAGTCTCTTCGTCGAACCCGTTTTTTCAGAACATTCTTATCAAAATTATTCGCAGTCCTCTAAATACTATTCGGAAAATTGCTGTTTTCGCTGTCGGTCATGTTTATAGATGGCATGAGCCGTTGTTAGAAAGAAACGTTTCTATTCACAACGCTACAAGATGCTATGGGAGGTTAATTTGCTGATACCAAGTTGGTGACTCAATCGTTTGACAGATTTTCTGGATGTCTCGTGATAGCTTTCCAGTGCTCTTTCTCGGCTGGAATTTCATGTCCTTGATCTTCTGGAATGTTGTCTTTAAACCATCCGTTTCAAATTTATTAACTTCAATTAATTGTAACTTGCGTAGAGGTTTCTGAAACTTCTTGCGTTATTGTCTCTATACTTCTGATACATACTTTCAGTAGAATTTTAGATTCATACAGAATTATTCAAAAGCGACTTTTGGCCTATTTTCAATTAACTGCACCCTGAAAGGAAATTACATTTAGAAAGTTATGACCTGTTATACAGGATACATAATGTTTTAAGACAATTATGGTATATATATTTAATTGTTATTAAGATATATGAAAATGTGGATCTTAAATTGCGATTCAATTGAGATCAAATTTCACGACAATTCATCTAAATGAATTACGTAATTATGTTATGATTTCCAATTCAAGGTGTTCGATGTGTTCAGCACTTTTGCTGAAGGTACAAACGTACGGGCTGCTATGCTAGCCGGTTACAAAAGCCGCTTGGAGGAGGAGAAGCTTCTTCTTAAAAAAGGTTTGTGCTTACTTCCATATTTAGCTTGTGTATCTGTATAATGGTGCTGTACAACGATTACTAAAAAAAAAACTGTAGTAGTTATTTTGGGTGGTTAAATGTTGTTTGTCACGCATTACAGGACACTCGTTGGTGGATGTAGTTGTGGCCACTCCGGCAAAATTTCTCCAACATCTTCGTGCGACGCGCAACTTCAGCGTGCAACAGCTTGAAATGTTGATACTCGATGAGGCTGATCGGATGGTCGATATGATACAATACGGGCATGTTGACGCGAGAATATATACTCGCGAAGTCTATTACTTCAAGTTTTGTCAAGGGAAGCTTTAAATTGAAGCGTGTCTGGCAAAACCATAGTAAACTAGAGCTTTAAATATTTCATTTTCCAAACCATAGTAAGCATCCGACACGTTGCGCTGTGATTGCTGGTTTGAGGAAGAAAGACTAGTCGTTATTAATTCATGTGACTCATTTCGATGTCTCTTTAACCGTTGATCGATCGTAGCTTGTTATTGAAAAGTAAAACCATTACTGAAGAATGCATTTCAAATACATTTTTTTTATAATAATTTGTTCCCAGTTCGACACTGTTTTTGGGCAGCGCTAGTAAGCTGATTCACTCACGGAGCCATATTTGTCTCTGTGATAATTCCGTATTGAAATCTTAAGGATACGCCAGTGAAACATTCTTATTCTAAGATTTTTTGTTAGAGAAGTTGCTTCAAGTGCTAAGCATACTGAAACCTTTATACTAACCATCGAAAGTCTTCCTCTCTTTCTGTTTGCCGTAGACTTATCCAGGAGATTGAAGATGCTGTGTTTACAAAAAGACCGGACGGAAGCAACCTAAGTGTGTGCAGATGCAGCGGAATAACAATTGGTCGACCAAGGCCAGGTGCTATTAATTGTTGCCTCTTCGACGCTAGCCATACGCCTTTACGAAAGCTTCTGTACTCTGCAACACTGATGTCTGACCCGGAGAAGCTCAAACACCTCAACTTGTTCTATCCGAAGGCATGTCTTGAAGATTTGCATTTTGTGCAGTCGGTAATATGTCGTCGATGTTTGTTCAGGCGAAAAATGGCTGTTGCTCGTTTTAACTCGCTTGCTTAAATCCATCTACACATCTATTAATTTCTTGCCAATTCCTGTTCATTTGTTCATTTAATCGCTTATAGCACAGAGCTAGAGTGTAAGATGTACCTAATTCTAAACAGGCCATTGTGCCAGTCTAATGAATTCCATTGTTGAGCAGGTATTCCATGCGTCCCACATTCATGAGCGCATTCTACAAAACGCTGCCACCGCTGATGACACTAGTCAGGAGCGGCAACCTGTAAAGCCAATAGTCATGTCGCAGTTGGCATTGACTTTGCCTGATAAGCTTGAGGAACGGTGGATGGCATGCGATCTCCAGACGCGTCCGCTCCTTGTTTGGTGGCTAGCGACACGAAAGGCTCATAGTCACATGCTGGTCTTCACTCGAACCCGTGAAGAATGCCATCGATTGCGCGTTGTTATTGAGCACATGGGAGATTGCCGTGTCATTGATCTATCAGCGGATATGAAAAAGCGTAAAAGACATAAGGCACTTCAGGATTTCGATAACGGTATGCTCGTGGATGGACGATGACTAGTAGGGATTAAACTAAGTAGGACTCAGTTCTGGGGATTTAGGTAGTCTGCATTTACAAGAGGCGAACACAAGAGGAGAGGTGTTAGTGTGGCAGCCTTCATTACCTTGATAGTTTATGGTTTTCACTTTTATTCGTATTGTCTTACATAGGACACGTTTAGGACGTTTAGTGCTGTGTAGAGTTTCTAAGATTTGTCGTTTGTTTTTTTAAGTTTTTATCTATTTATTAATTATTAGTTTCAATTTTGTTATAGTACGCACATTTCTATAAAATGTTCTAAGTATTGCGTAATATCCGCTTAATATCAAAAAGTTAGTTTTAGCTATCGGTAGGTTGAGTGTGACACAGTGTTAATTTGTATATTAGATTATGTCCGCTGCTGTCCACCGCCTTCTGTCTCGAAATTTTCGTGCATGTATGAATATAGCTCTCACTATCTTGTCTGTATTCCAAAAAGTTCGATGATTGCAACGGGTTTCTAAAAAGTCTCGACACTTTCTGTTTGTCCTTCACCGAGATCAGAGGCTGCTGAATCAGCCGAGGGCCGAAAGAGGTGCTTGTCTGATACGGACATCCGATAGCTATTTCATGTAGCATGCTCACACAAGCGACCCTTTTGCGCAGAATGATTGTCAGATGAGCCTATATGGCTTAGTAACAGAGTTCTTTCCCCACGTGCAAAACAGGTAGCCTCGGTTATTTCAGCAACGTTTTAACATTGGCAAAGACGAAGGATATCTCAAATTAAATACTAAGCATATTAGTCTAACGAAACGACACAGTGTAGATAACATAGTACCGAACCAGCTTTCTAATTGTAGGAGACTGTGCACCATGTGCAAACGAACGAAAGCAGTCAGAACCCCAGTCAGCAAGTAGATGCTTTTATTTAATTAAATCCTTCACCAGCTGGTCCCATATTTTGCTGTTACCCGCTGGGCCAGATGCATCTGTAACAAGTATTCAATGTCTTTACATTACAGGTTTATATGACGTACTTATCTGCACAGCTTTATTAGCTCGTGGAATGGATTTAGCGAACGTTGAGCATGTTCTACTGTACCATAGTCCACGCTCAGCCGAAGAGTACGTGCATACAGTTGGTCGAACGGCGCGGGCTAATCGTCATGGCATCTCAATAGTACTCATCAATGAGCAGGAAGAGCGTCGCCTCAAAAAGTACATAGTTAATACAGTCTTTTCACTTTGCATATATTGTTGATTTTCTTGTTGAGCCTCAATAAGTAGCAAACGATGTTACTGATCAAGTCGGTAAGGGCATTATTAAGATTACTATTATTACTGGCGCGCGCGCAAATGTAACAAAAAGCGGTAACGCGGTCCTGTTTTTCTGATTCTTAATTAACGCTATATTTCAGCATGTGCTTCGCTCTTTGAGAGTTCCAATCGTGCTTGCTTGTGTTTTATCGGTCACATTTTTAAATGTACCATGTGTAACTTTTTCACCTTAAGAGTCACGTTTGCTTGTATCTTTGTAGGACACTTAAGGTTATCGCTAACTCAAAGATTAAATCATATCTCTGGAACGCCGAAGAGCTGACGGAGTTCTACGGGCGCTATCAGCAAGCACTAGCCCTAGCCAAGAAGGAACTTCTCCGAAAGTCGTAGTCGAACGACAGCTCTGTAAATCACGTTTAATTTGCGGAAAGTCTGCAGGGTGCAACGACTACACTTAATCTTGCAAAAACATAAATCATGTTCTACCGTTCTATGCAGAGGGAAAGGGGCAAAAGATTTGTAAATTTGTAAATGTGAACTCTATAAATAAAGTTCGATATGTATGATATTTTTTACGAATATATGTTTCTGCATGTAAAACTGTAGAATGTCAATTTTCGAATTTGGGTGAAATGGGCCAGAGGTAAAGATACAGGCGTGAACCTGCTCAACGTCGCTGGATTTACGCTTTCGATATGATCTATCTCCTTTTAAAACCAGGGACTAGTTAATTAGATATCCTAGTTGGGTTTTTGGTCCAGTCAGCTGTTTCAGCGCAGTTAAAATGCAGGACTCATTTTTTTTAATTAAAATAATTCCATCATGTAAAGTTTTGGTAATAAATTTAAATGGTCATGTTATATCCTGAACAAATAACATCAAATGAGTCCGATGGAAACGGTTTCCGTTGTAGAATGTGAAAATTTTCTAAAGAGATGATCTATTTTAGAAGTTCTACATCGAGGGTGTCTAACGAAGGCATCCCTTAGCATAATGAAACATCGCTGCGGACCAAAAGCATGGTTTCGTAAGCAATATAATCTTGAAAAGGAAATAAAACTTCGTACGGTTGTCCCGTTTTCAGCTGTCGCGGCGTAGACACACTTCGTTTGATGTGAGGAGTCACCCGTCTGAAGTAATGCCAAACGGCTTACGTACCGGACGTAAAACACGAAAAAAACATCAAGCTATTCAGTTTCTCAATAATTCTATAAAGAGCCTCATATCATGTGTACAAGAAATCATGATAGGTATTGAACAAAAATGCTCTGAGCTTTCGTCATTGTCAAGGAGCTAATGTGTGCTTACTAAAAATTACATTTTTCATAGTATACGATAATATAAAATGTCATTTATCTCTGCACAGGGCTTATAGATACATTTCCCTCCGGGTATAGGAAAAGGCTCTCCAGCGTACGTTCGGTGCTGGGAACCGCACCGCGTTGTCCATGCGACTTAGACCAGCCAGCGCTAATGTTTCCATATCTCCTTTTCAATTATTTACGCAGATCGGTCCGTAAAGTTTTCATATATAAAGGCAAGGTTCATAATCCCAATGTTCGTTATATCCCTCCCCAACCAGCTTCTTGCCACTTCTAGCCTATATTTAGCAAATACACTTAGAAAGTGCCTTCCACGCTGTGAATATATGTTCGACGATTTCTTCTGTAGACTTGCAGCACACTTTTAAAACGCTGCTTTTTACGCTGTCTATGCTCTTAAGATTTGTCGAACAAGACTAGCTGCACTTGTAGGATGTTCAGTGCAAACTAATGAATGAAAATAATTAATTTGATCTCAATTCACTGAGTTTTATAGCGTCTTATTTATCACAGGCTCAAAACCATCGCTTGTACTCATACATGTATGTTTAGGTTCTTCGTATGAATATCTGATTTCAATTTCATTATTGAGACATAATAAATATAATAAATAAACAGTCTGCACGAGAAATAACGTAATGTACCTATGTAAGCCTCCCGTGGAGCTATTTTTGACCTCAGTTGTTACTGGAACTTCACGAGGCGCTTTTACGGATATGAGAAGCACACATCTATACGAAGACACGCATTCGTGAGCACAGAAAATATGAAAGTGAACATTTTGAAATTAATTGCTGTGTGTTTGGTACCGGTTGTACGCCTCAACTTGAAGCGTCCGTCCGGATAATATTGCCGACGCGGTTTCGTTGTCGAATACGTTGTCGTCTTGTTGTAGTTGTAAACGAAACGTAGCACGTTTCAGCAGCCGGCTAACATATATATATATATATAAACTGCTCAATGTTCCTTTGTTACCTTTAGCTATCTCCTCATTGGTTCGTTCGTCAAATGTTATATTTTACCAGTTTTTTTTGTATTAGCAACGGGACAAGCAATTGCAGTGGTAACAGTAAAGGTAGTGGTAGCAATCTAATGGCTTGTTCACAGCTAATTTCTTAACTCGCGTTTGTCTTCATTATTCTTAATATTCGAGTTGTTACAATATAACGAATGCCAACAGTAATACTGTGCACGATGCTTATGCCGTGTTGAAATATACCAAACGCTCAAGTTTTCGACAGTTACAGCTGTTGCTGCTGCTGCTATGCTTGTGCACAAGTCATATTGCCTTAAAGTAGCCGATGCAGAGGTAGATAGCCTGTGGCAAGTACAGCCGCGGCTGTTCACCATTGGCAACAAAGTCTAATTGGTGTTTGCTGTCGCTTCTAACGGAACATCGCCTCTGTCACCACCGGGGCCGCTATAGGCCATAGCAGCCGGTAATAGCAAATGGCAGTGAGCGACCGTGTAGCAGCGGCGGCAAGCGTTCTTATTCGCGTTTGCATCGCGTCAGTGCGCGCGTCCGTTAGAAGCGAGCTATATTATCTGCAGCTACGAAAGTAAAAGCGATCAAGTAGCAGCGGTTGTGGCAGGGGGTCGCTTTAACTAGGCTAAAGGGAGGCGGGGACCTTTTGGAAGTATTTTGAAAGCTGCTACGTGATTCTCAAAGGCTGACTGTAAAGTTGCCGCCGGCGCAGCAGCTGTTGCCATTGCTACCACTAGTCTTAGCTCCACTTCTGCCCCTCTGTCTTGCCGGGATCTACCTGACGAATTGAAAGGTATGTTCATAGGAATTAAAGGTTTGTTATTGTTGTAGTTGCTATTGGTCAGGTCTTTGTTAAATGTAGCTGCTAAGCTCACTGGCCCGTTGCGTGGCACGGACCTTCATGCTTGCCGGCGTTTGCACAATGGAGACGTCTATGACGATGCTGGGGCAAGAGCGCAACCCCGCCGTAGTGAGTGACTGACAGTGTCGCCACCATCGCACCGACCAGGCGAGTTGGTCACCCACGAGGGCCAACAACTGAACGACAATAATGACAGCCAACATAGACCAGCCCAAGTTGATTTGCATTTGGCGAGGAGCAGCACAACAGCGCATAAGGAAGGTGGAACTTGCTGTATTAGGGTAACGCGAGTCGACATAGCAGCAAGAAATCGCTTATTAGCTACTATTACCATCACGGCTAACAGTAGTTCCTATTATACTTGCTGCTCTCGCGTTATCATGGCGTTCAAAATGCGCAACGAAAGAGTGCGTCCTACGCCACGCAAACATGACTATCGTCTGAAAGATTTGTCTCTGACACCGGCCTGCAGTCCCTGTCGTCAGGAGCAGCGCAAGAAGTTCTACAGACAGCAGTCAGACATGAACAGCGGTAATAGTGACAGACGAATTTAGCAATGATCGACGTCGGGTAAATACGCTCTAAAACACATCGTCCGTAGAAGAACAACAAGTGCTTCAAGTACCGCGCGATTTGTTCGCCTTGGCCACGGTGCTAGTCTTGCGTAGAGACTTTGCCAGGGACGCAGTAGCGGTAAGGGGGAGAGGCAGTGAATCGTTTAAGCTTTGCCCCCATATCTTGCGCGAGCCACGATGAGAGTTGTGGGCTGTGGCCAAGGAACACAGCCTGTGTATTCGTAACAAAGAGCTTTATAGGGGAAGCTATCGTCCATCAAGTATTGCAGTAGAACCGTGCGCGGCAGTAGTAGACCAAATAGTGTTATATTCAGATCGACTAATTGAACGCGGCCGCAAGCAAACAGCATAAAAGCCGTTATTGAGATTTGTTTATTTTATTGCTGTCATCGTTGTTGTTATTGTTTTTCATGTTCCAGAAATGGGGGGTTGAAGTTGTCCGAATTATTCATGAGCCACTAATAAAGTCAACAATTAACTGGCTCACTCGGGCATAACGGAGTAACATATAATACAATAGTTGTATTAGTTAGAACTAGCTATACGGTTGCTGTAATAACAGCCTTTGTGCTGTTTTATGGTCAAGGGCGGCGGAAAGGATATGGAGCAAGGCCTTACCTTATACGGATTTCAGTATCTAAAAAAGGAAATTGTCGTACTCTGGTGTCACCCTTCATGTGTTTGGTAGCCTACAAGCAAGAGTCTTGTGTTGTCTGGTTAGACCTGCTACCAAAAAGCGAATATTATCTAAAGATGGGCACCCTAGCATAACGGGTCATGTCTGACTTGTCGAAGTTAACTAGCTGGCATAAGCAGATTGATCTGTCATGATTACTTTAGCATCTAGCAAGAATTGATTATGACGAGTACGGTCTGAGGGCCTTACGTAAACCCTCGACTGCACAGTCTAACCACGGTCTTTCACCTAGAAAACGTTTTGAAGCACGTATCTTCAACTGAAGACTGCGTTTGAGGATGGTGGTGTCTGCAAGACACCTACATCGAAAATCTGTAGGATCTATAATGCAGCATTTCAAATAAAAGTTTTCATTGCACTTCTAACAGGTTTCAGTGTAGAGAAGATGGCGCTCCGCCTTAAACTGATTCGAAAGTGCTACTAATTGGCTCAAACGTAATGGCTATATTAAGGATACATGTAGAAGCAAGTAAGGTACCTATTGTTAGCGAGTGAATCAAATCACTAAATGAGAATATTAATGCGTGAAAAAACCTGTCAAAGCCCAAAAATTGCGATTTTTTGCCCAAAACAAACAGTGTCATATGTTATAATATTATAAAGCTACCACCTATTTCCAATATGTCGTAGTCTCATTTTCCTTAGAATTACTCTGCAAAACAGAAGAATGTATAATGTTAGTCAGCCTGATAGTCCAAAAGGACTTTTTTTGATTTCAGGTTTATGATTATGTGCCTCACCCTAATCAACGAAACTAAATAATACTTAAAGGCCGTTTATGGAATTAGACTTTTAATCTTTAGTATTCTTCTTGTTTTTGCACTAATACAGTTCCGGTTAATACAAAACAAGTAACGTGTATGGCGCGTAACCATGTATGGGCGTGCTCACAGAACTAAAGACAAAAAAAGGCAGGATATATTCTATCCTTTTGATAAATACAGCCGCTGTGATAATATCTACCCATGTAGAGGTTTTGTGCTTCTTGGCCGTACTCCGCGCTTGGTGACTAAATACAACGATTTAAAGTATCGACCAACTTGCCTATTGTTTAACAATCCTCGTACATTTTAGAATGATTAGTAAGTTACTTAACTTGTTACTTCTGTCAAAGCCGTTTCTATATCTTGCAGG